ATTTGCATTCTTAATGCCAATTATTATCAGTTTAATGTATTTTTCTCGTTGTAACTATTATAGTTAAAGGTGATTTCCAGGAATGTACGCAATTAATTTTGAAGTGTGACAACACTGTAGAGCAAGCGTAGTAATCGTAAGTACTGATTCATTCATAAAACGCATGCTCGCTTTGCAGATAAAAAAACTTGCACAAACCATCCCCACTCAAATTAGCAGCCATCTCGTTCTTTCTAATGTGGCAGCCGATGCGACAGCTGTTTCTGCACGATTGCAATAAAAAAAGGTATAATTATGAATGAATGGATTAGTCTAGTAGTTTTTCGTCATTGGCGACGAACGACTAGGATACAAAGTCTAAAATCATACCATTAAATTTTGGTGTTCATATTTTGATTTCGTCAACTGTACTAACATCAATAGAATATTGTACGGAAGAATAGTTAACGTTGATAATATTAAACGCGATAATTGCTTACCTGCATAAAATGATGTACACTTTCCAGTAGCATTCCATACATCTTGATCTATTTCTGCGAGATTTTTATCTTATTTCAAATACTTACCCTTCACGTTTACTAACTTTTACTAAATGTACCTGCCAAATCCACTTACTCTAAAGGACTGAGTCCTGCGGCAGTTATTAATGGTTGTATTTCATGAAATCATCCACTTATACTGAGCTAATATTTGATCGTAATTACCAAATTTATGCACCTGTTGTGTTATACCGCTCTTGGATAGATAACATTATTCAAAGTGTCACGCAAATCCAGAGATAAGAAGACAGACTAATTGAAACATGCAAAAGGATCGTTTGGATTTGAATCGAAATTATTAATGATTCATGTGAGCCATTTGCGTTGAGACAATGCCTGAATTTTCTAAAGGGGTCTAATAACAGAAAGTTTAAATTAAATAAAACAAAAAACAATATTAATATATTTATTAAGTTATATTATGTTATATAAATAATTTCAGGTACAATAAGTATATTTAGTTTTCCTTATAATCATCGTTATTGTAAATATTTTCAAACACCCAGTAGGCCTTCATGTCGCCTTTACCCTAAAAATAAATGAAATTTGAATAATATTCAAGGAAACTTTAGAAAAATGATGTTACATATAGATTTTGAAAACATTTTCGTCGGCTTGAAAATAATTGTAAATTATCTACAATCTAGTCGATACACATACTTTGATTACAAATCAAAGTATGTGAGTCGATATGATATAGTATATTACATTACGAGTGTGGAAAATCACTTTTCACACAAGTGATGTACAATATTTTTCCTACGACCACAAAATAATTTCATCAAAAAATGTAAAACCAGATTATTATAATAATTAAAATGTATTTAAAAAAATAATCAACAATAATCGTATTTATTAAATTTTCATAATTTCTAAACAAATAAAAAAAAATAAAAAAAAAAAATAAAAAAAAAAATCTGGCACAGCCAGGATTCGATCGCGGTCGTTGGACGGTCTCAAATTGCAAAGTTGATGCTCTAACCAACTGAGCTAACAGGCCTTACGGTAATTGATTGATCTAATCGCTTATGTGTTTAACCAGAATAAAAAGCAAATATATCTTAGTTATTTTAAAATTATTTTAAAAATAATTGTTAAAGATAAATATCTAGGATCTAATTTACAATAATTTAACAATCATATCGATTTTAGTATTAATATGGACATTACATAGATCAAAATAGAAATTATGTGTTTGACATTTTCTGACAGCTACTGCGGAAAGTAGCATATTCTCACTTGGGTGGAAAGTAAATTCTTATTCATACGCGTGTGATATAGGGCACTTTCCATAGGTCTATATAGTGTGATATGTGTCACTTTCCTAAGTGGTCGTAGGAAAAATTAATATTCAAACTGGTTATGACATTTAGTAGACGTCAAATCATTTGCGTCGTCATGAAGAAACTTCGACAAAGCATTTACAACGTGTTTGGACACGTGCCCAAGCGAGGATTTATAAACATTTTTTTGAAATCAAAATATTTCATTGGCGAACATTTACAGAATATGTAATTGCAGAATGTGAACAGGGTCCATGGATAAATGCACCGAAGATGCTGACAGAAAATTGCGACAACTAAATCTGTGAAAGTGCAAAAGACCGAATTGGAACATCATATCGAAAGTTATCCATAAGATTTAATGTTTCTCGCGAAACTGTAAGGTATTTCAGAAAAAAGGCTGGAAATAAGGTAAACTGGGGGAATATGACAACATGGGTAATATGCCGCACTATGCCGCAGTCATTTGGCCATTAAGTAATTTAATGTACAAGTGGTGTTGAGTTATCGTTTAAAACAGTTGCAAATTTGAATGAAATACTAAGGTATGTATTAAAATCATTCCTGAAAAATATTTACTATGTTACTTTATTCGCCTGCACCATAATAACTACAATTACCATTATGATTGATTTTATATTTGAGGATTATGTATTCCAATGATAACTGAAACAAGCCAGCCGTGCATCTTATCTCTCTTTTCTTTTGACATACACGTCTTCTTTTGTCGAAATATATTTTGGAGTATTATGCCTTACTGTTTCTGGGTAATATGCCATATGAAGCATATTACCCCATTTGTTTTTATTGGCAAAGTTTGTTTACGTATGTTGATACCTTAGATAAAAGAGACCAGAGATATTACATACACCGGTGTTTAACCAGCGCAAATGTTGCCAATTTCTAAAGAAAGGTTAATGGAGTGGGAGAACTGGGCAGAGACCCGAACTCTGTGACAGGGACCGGACTTTATTTATTAGCATCATAATGAACTATTAGATTTATTTAAAATATACGTTTAATGGAATTTTGTATTATGAAATAAAGTGATTTTTTAATATCAAAGGTTTACAGCACATGATATACTGGGCTTGATGAGTGTGCCTTCAGCTGACGAGGTGACCTGTCTTGATGAATTTCCGTGGATGAGAAAAAATGCACTGTTGGGATCTCCGGAACCTACAGTGATTTTTGCCTTGTTGTTACCATAAAATGATACTACAGGAATCGAATTGTTGGGTTGAGGATCTGCAGAACTGCCGTCAGTCTTATCAGAATGGGTTTCATCTTGGTCTGAATCCTGTGACTCACAATTAACATCAGCTAAGGAGTCCTCTTGGTCCGAATTCTATGACTCACGATTAACATCAGCTGGTGGGACTTCGGCCAAGGGATTGGAGATATCTGTGGTCGCTGCTGGAGCGAATTCGTCTTCAGGAAACACATTTCTGTTGATTAGAACTATACCACATCTCCGAAATCCTTTTACAGCAATGGTCGGAGTAGCTGCATTCAAAAAAGCTTCCCCAAGAAGGCGGGACACTTGATATTGTGTTACAACCATACCAGGATTATTTCGTAAGAATCTCTCCACTGCTTGAACATAATAAGTGTTCAGTGGCCCCATAAAAGATACATCCAGTGGCTGCAACTTATGAGTGCAATGTGGTGGAAGGCAAGCTACAGTGTCCCTAGCCTTTATAATGAAATCAAGGTTTTTTGTGTGTGTAGCGTGTCCATCCAGTATTAGCAATACTGGGTCTTCTCTTGATGGTTTGGCATACTTCAGGAAATATTCAAACCATTGAATAAATATCTGACTCTGCATCCACCCTGAGGGGTGGCAACAAAATGTCGTCCCAGGTGGAGCACCATCTTTAAGTTCTTCTTTCATCCGCTGTCTCGGAAATATGACAAAAGGAGGGATAAAATTTCCTTCCGCTGACATACAAACTACAAATGTAGAAAGAGTTCCTCTTTCGGCAGATGTAAGGGAGCCAACTTGCCGTCTACCTTTTAGTGCAAAAACTTTTGAGGATTTTGACTGGACAGTCAAAAGTCCAGTTTCATCGACATTGTAAACCCTATGTGGAGGATACAAGTAGTTTTTCTGGGCGTCTTCTAAAATGTCGAAGAATTTTGAGACATTTGTCTTGTTGAAGGCTTGGGCTCTTGCTGCGGACGTCGCTTCTGGTTTTCTTAAAACAATTTCGCGATGTCTTTCTAAAGCCGGCAACCCAATCTTTCCCAGCTAATTTCTTTTTATGATGGAACGTGTTAGGAATATTGTTCTTTACTGCCAATTGATAAGCCAGGCTACGTAGGTCTGCTACTGTAATTCCAAAAAAACGAATCTCCATGTCCAAAAGGTAATTTACAAGCTCCTGTTCTTGTTCTTCAGTGAAAACAGCACGATAACGACCTAGGTATTTTTTGTTAGAAGTAGCTTGCTGGTTTTTCTCTAGAACACGTCTATTTTGGGGTATTCCTCGGCACGTTAAATTGTTTGGCAGCCATATTATCATTTTTTACTGCATCTATATCTCGTTGCATAGCCTTCGGGTCCCAGGACTGCTGCTGTCTCTTCCTGGCTAGAAGCAAATTTATTGACTACTAAATCAAATAGCCAAATAACTCAAAATCAAATACCAAACGATGAGGTTTCACCATCAACGTCTGATGCTGAGACAGAAATACCAAGGGTAATCATTACTACTGCTGAAATTCATAACGATAAAATAGCTGGACCATATACTGCTAGACCAATAGATACCGCTGCTATTTCAGATTCTTTCAAGAAAGAAAGAGAATTAAGGTGTGGCTTTAACGAGATTTAAAAACTATACCAACGAATTAAATTCTAAATCTAAAAGAAATTCTCGCAAAGAGCACGCCGAAATTGTTTCTACAAAAGAACACATTGCTGAAAAACGCCGAAAGAAAGAATTAAAAGAAGCTAATGCTCAAAGGAAAACAAGGAAAACTCAAAATGCCAAGGAACATAAAAATAAGGCAATCAAGGTAAAAAGTAACGCACAAAAAAAGAAGAAATCTAGGAAATCTTCTACTTCATCCATTAATATGATTGAACGTTCAAGTGATGAAGATCTTCAGTAGTATTTGAGAACGTAAGCAATAAAAACATATTTAATGAACATTGTTTTATAATTTATTTTACCTTCAATGTGACAGTTCCTCTACTGGTCAAAATATATGTATCATCGGGTATCAGGCAACGAGTAGATTCTGAAATATGAACCATACCAGGCTAAAAAATAGAAGAAAAAACAATATTAGATATTATAAATAATCATTACCTCATGTAATTAAACAATAATAAATAAAAATATGTAAAAATTAAAAACATTAGAGAATTTTATTATCTAAAATTCTTAAAATAGTAATTAGGAATTTAAAAGAACTAGTAAAAAATGAAAGGTAATATTTATAACAGAAGAGATTTTCTATTAGAAAAATTGTTCAGATATGAACATTTTTAAAAAAGTCTTAGTAAAACAACATCCTGTACCTACATGTTTTTTTAATGTTATAAAGTTTGTTGAAGTTGTAGTACAACTAAACCATAGTTTTTAAGATTCATAGATAGGAAAATAAACCATGACTAATAATAAAGAAAAACAAGAAGAACCTCCAACCAATATGTCACAAAATAAATAGACATCTATCTATTCTGTTACTCTTTGGATTATATGCCTGTTTAAAGGAGTAGTTGCTTTCTAAAGGGAAACTATCGCTCATATTATTTTGTGACATAGATTTTCTTTGTTTTTAGATTCATCATGGTTCTTCGAACCGGATGATTAAAACAATTAAAAATAGTTTTACTACTTATTTAGATTTTTATTATTTATATATCTAATTAAAAAATTGAAAAATATAAAACAATAGGACTACCAAAAACAAAAGTAAGCAAAAATAAACGAAGTAAAAAATGGCATGGCATAAATATTAAGTAGACAAGTATTTACCTCACTGGAAGATTGCATCCTTGAGGCCGTATTTACAGTATCACCAAAAAAGCAGTACCTGGGTAATTTTATTCCAACCACACCTGCCACAACTGGTCCAGAATGAGCACCTAAAAGAAAACTTAAAGATAATGAAAATGGTAAAAATTTACTTATAATTGAACGTAGTCATGCAGAAATGATCCAATTCACAAATCTACCAGAAATTACTTGAATAGCTTTACAGTCCAAAATTATATTCTGCTGAAAGATCCAACAATTTAGAAGGATATTAATAGTGAAAATCGTTAATACTCGCTATATATTCTATGGTTATCGCGTAGAGAATTTAACTTTAACTTCATTTTTCTCAAAATATGGTTTGGGTGGATTGGATCATTTCTGCATAACTACGTCCAATTTAAATTAAGAAATAGGACAAATAACTATAAAAGAAAAATGTAAGAAAAATTGAATTCTGGATTGCACCAAGGCTTCTGGAAAATACTTTGCTTAATTTTGTCCATTTAACATTTTCTCCGTTCAATGTTTAATACCTTGGTAAGTCCCATTTACAAATATGTTGGATTTGACGGTTTTACAACTATTCAGAAATATCTTCTAGATCAAAAAATAGACAAATATTCACTAGTTCCATAAATAGCTATTATATACACTGTAATTTAGTGTACCTAATCTAAATAAAGTAACAATATTATTATCTATTATTATTGTTATATTCGTGTATAAGCATTAATTAGATTAGAATTGGACCATAAAGTATAAGAATCACCTGGATTACTTCTGAATATGCTTTTTAAACACATAGCGATATTATAATAAAAAGAAAAATCAATCAAGAAGTAATCATTTATTATTTATAACAAAACAAATTACCTAACCCCATTAGGTTTTTAAATTAAATCCTTTTCGCATTACAACTATTTAATGAATATAATCCAATAATCAGTTACAAACACTATAAGTCTGTAAACCAATAGATAGGTCTAGAAATTACGCAGTTTTAAATAACTGGACCTTTTACGACTATCATCATTTACTGGACAACGTTGTCAAATGTCAAATAACGAACGTAACGCTTTAAACTTTAAAAGCCACGAATTTTATATTTTTTTTTCTCGAAATGGAGAATGAATTAAACAAAAAATATGAGTGAAACCTATTTTTTACGTAAATAACTAATTTCTGAAATAAAAAAAATTGAAAAAAAAACCCACTGAAATACTAGTACATGTAGATAATAAAACATAACAATTAGACTGTCCTAAAATAGAGAAAAGATTTCTGACCTATTCTAACTTCAACTTTGTTTCCAGAAGGTATTTGTAGTTGCTTCACATGGTGGACCATTTCCAAAGAAACGTCAACGATATTTTTAGCGTGATTATCATTTTTATTTGGAGCTCCACACACCGCCATGTAGATCTGGCCCACAGTTTCCACCTGAAAATTAAAAAAAAAAAAAAAAAACTTTTTCTTGAATCCTTAGGAACTTTAATGAATTTATAAACATATTTCTTTTATGTGATTATTTTTCATCATCATTAAAGTTCGTTTCTTTCTTTCTTTCTTTAAAATTCTCAAATATTCCCAAACTTTCTGTGATTTTCCAGAAACTGGTCATCGTGAATTGGTCTACATCCGGTCCTGTATGCCTAAATCGATTAGGTCTGTGTAGGACAACGGTTTCCGGAGCATATGTTTTTGATAAATTATCACAATTCAGCGACAGAAAGTTGTTTTGTTTTTGTTAGCTAAAATTTATATTGCGATAAAAAAAAGTAAATTATGAGTAAAGGAATTTTATTGAAGGCATTGCAAAAAAACGTTCTTTTGCTTTATTTTTCTTGTACACTACAAAAATAAGGTGTACAAAAGTAGCATTAGCACTGTTGATGTTTAATAGTATACGTCTGTAAAAGATTGTAAGTAACATAGTAATGTAGAGTCCTGACATAAAAATAAGATGATTTAACACACATTATCTACGATTGTTCAAGTTCAATTAGGTTTTAACTTTTTGCTAATTTGATGTACATAAAACATCCAATTCACTTTGATGTGATACAATAATATACCTATAACAATATCTTTTCAACTAAATTGAGTCCATTGATACAAAATTGTAAACTTACTCATACATTTTTGGAATTGTTTTGATATACATATTTAAATTATCCATACATAATATACAGGGTGTCCCAAAAAGTTTTATACAAATAGTAATTGCTTCATATCATATTTTATAGAGGGTGGGTCAAATGCGGTAACAGAGAGCATATATTGTTTTTAGGCTTTAACAAGGTATTAAGGATGTATCCTGAATTTTTAATATTTTATTAAATAAATGTAGGATCTGTCACTCTATGTTATGCAGAGGGTGTTAAACCGATTGCAAAAACTTTGAAAATTAGAAAAGCAGTTTTTTTGTGCAACATCCTGTATTTCAAAAGCTTCTCCATCAACTTTACAAATTATTACATTTTTACATTAACAGAAAGTTCACTATAAAGGTCTCTGCCCATTACACCTTACCATACTAGGACCATAATCGTATCGATACATACAAACAAATATTCTTTGCATGTTTTGATATGCGACAACGCCCACTAGACCGTTCCGTCACCGGCCAACATCGTAGCGTGCCATGACAGGACCGTCAACAATTTCACGACGAGAATATTTTGCAGGTACCGACACGCACCGTCCATGGCAAGCTATGTTGTATGTGAGGATAAAACACTGTTGATTCGCTGTAGTGGGCCCAGTAGTAACCGGAGTGCTTTCTTTCGTGCCTGACACGTTTCTGTTATGGTCATGGTATGGTACGCTGTAGTGGGCAGAGAGCAAACTGAGCAAAATTTTGTTGTAATTCTATGACCAGTTTTCCTAATATGTGTATCCAAACAGTTACTATATTTAAGATCTATTTTCCTTATCATCAAATATAATTGGGTAAAGGCATTATTTACATTATTAATACAAAGTGATGCTAATATTTATGTATAGACAGACGACAGATCTAGCATGATCAAATCTGCTGACCTACTTTGTCTATATTCAAGCAAAAACACTCGGCGATGGATTAAACTTGAGGAAATTTAAAGTATTTGAGTCAGCAGATCATAAAACTTTTCTTCCTAATTTTGTTATAAGTATCATTTATACCGGATGGGCCATATATATGTTGAATTTTAAATTGCCTATTATTATTGAAGTTGACTGTCATTAATTGTTGACAGTGATTTAGTTTTATTCTTCCTCTAACCGAATATGCATCGCTTTGGTCTAGATCAGCCATACTCAACCTTTTTTCCTTTGGGCCCCATACGTATGTTTGCTATGTTACACGGGCCGCAATATTTTTGAATTATGACCCTTTATTTAGGCCATCCATTTAAAATTAGTTAGTGGGAACCTCTAATAAATAACATAAATATATCTCAACGGGTTATTGCAAAAACAAGATAACTCACATTTTTTAGCTTCAATTTAATAAACAATATCTCCAATAAAAAAAAAGGAATTTAAAACATAATTAGTCTTTACAAAATATAAACTAATATATCGATTGGTAACAAAAAAAAGGAAAAACGTCACTTAGCTTATTTTAGCTGTCTACATACAGTAGGTAGTGGGATTTTCATCTTTCGATATGGCACCTATTGAGACGTTTATCTTCTTTCGACAGACTGCAATTCTTATGTAATGTCTCTCTCTATTTGATACGTATCGTGTCGAGTTTCGCACACAAGAATTCATGTGCACTGTGCAAGTCATAATATTTAATGTCTGTGTCACTGCCTTCTGTGAAAGGTTCAGGAAGTGTCTTTAACATTATTGGATAAAGGTAGATTGTGATAATGGTGAAATTCATCAGCTATAGTACCTGCTTTAGAAAGTTTTAGTAAATCTTTCTTCTTGGCATTACTAATGTGCACTTTTTTGTAAGTATTTTCAGTGCTTTTTTCCACTCTTTCAGGCATTCCTCTGCCGGCATGGCTTGGGTTTTTTCAGGCAATGCGAAAAGCTGGTGTTTGGGTGTATTTCGGTGATTTAAGAAGTGCTTCTGGTCGTTTTAACGCGCAAACAAAATGGAGAGGAGCAGCATCTCCTCTCGTTACGACTTGACCAATCACTCGTTACAACTTGACCAATCAATAATTTATTCACCGCGGCGATTAGGGCATTTATTTATTTGTATCCAAACAGACCAATGGCCTTATTACATGGATAACAGTATCATACTACATAAATAATAATAATATTAATAATAAACAGTAGGTAATTACAACTAATATTACAACCAATTCAGTATTAAAATTAATTAAGAGTAATGTAATAATTAAATACAAGTTTTCGGAACATATTAAATGGTAGTGTCCAGTCTACATCAATACAAGTGTTAATATTATTTGCCAATCGGGGCATGGTCACAAGAGGTGACCTGGCAGTGGTAAGAACTAACGGAATATTAAACATATATGGATGTCCCATTCTCCTCGGAGGTACATTAAATCGTATTAAGTATAGTAGCACAGCTGAGTTAATTTTATAGTTAATTTTATATAAAAAAGTCAACATTATGATAATCCTTCTGGTGTGAAGGGAAGGTATTTTAAATTCTTTTCTTAAGTTTTCTGTTATAACAAGATTGTAGTCTGGGTATATATGGAGTTTTTTGAAATAAAGATATCTAAGAAATTTATTTTGTATTTTTTCAATCTCATGTAGATTAGTTGGATGTTCCCCCATCCATATCTCAGCTCCAAATTCAAGTTTTTGTCTAACTAAAGCATAAATAATTTTTATAGATTCTGTTAGTAAAACTTCTAGTTTGCCTAATTATGAACCCCAGCATTCTATCTGCAGCCTTAACTATATTTTTTACATGTTTAGAAAAAGATAGAACACAATCGTAGGTTATACCTAAGTCTTTTACCTCTGTACGTCGTTCTATTACTTTTCCATTTATAAGATAATCGAAAATAACAGGATTTTTTAATCTACTTATTGATACTGCTACATTTTTGTATTGAAATTTAATTTATTTTCATAACACCATTACTTTATGTTGTCTATAACTTTTTGTAAACTCACACAATCCCTAAGTCTGTATTTTTTTAAAAATTTTAAGATCATCGGCAAATAGATGGTAACCTCAGTATAGATGGTAAATCATTGATAAAAACTAAAAAAAAAAAATTAGCTGTATCGTGGACAGAAAGGGTGACGTGATCACCTTGTCGATTTGGAACCAATCGAGATAGACCAGAGACGGCTCTAAGCAAAATGCATGGCTTGGGCAAAATGTTGAAGTATTTTAACAAATAGATTCAACAAAAATAAGTGTTCCGGCTTTTATCTTGTTTTGGCAGAAATACTACTAGAAATCGGACTAAATACATTTAGAAAAAATAAGTTACATATCTCTTATCTGGTTTTGGTAAACATATTATTATTAGCAATTGAACACAATGTTATGATTATATTTCAGTATGAATGTCACTCATCTTGTTTGTGCATATTTATTAATATGGAGTTAGTTTTTATTGACCATCTGTTTATCATGAATATAGACTTCGTTGACACTTGTCTTGATTATGAGGTATATTATTTGAACTATTTTGGAGACAAAAATGTACATATTTTGAAAATGCTGATAGTGGAGCTATCTTGTTTTTGCAGTAACCCCATGATTCAAACCTTTATTTAAAAATTAGCGTGATATTTAGCGCAGCGACCGATAATTGTTTTCGCGCGATTCGCTTAAGAGTTTAAAAACAGAAACCAATAGTTTTAAAAAGCACCTTTTTAATAATAGTGTTTCGGGCCGCAAAGAAAAGCTTGGAGGGCCGCATGCTGCCCGCGGGCCGCACGTTGAGTATGACTGATCTAGATCAACGTTTTGAAATACTCAAAATTTATTTTGAGTGTGACTCTGTGGTTGCCGAGATGGCGCGAAAATTGCGTACAAAGTTTGGAAGAAAAGAGGCGCCTTCAAACCAAGGAATTAAGAATTTTATTGATAAAGTGCGAAAAACTGGAACTCTGGTGGACGTAAAACATGTTCCACATGCTCATCCTAGGCGTACACCTGAAGTAATCGCTGCTGTAGCCGAAAGTGTGCACCTTAACGCGTCAACATCAACTCGCCGCAGAAGTCAATATCTTGGCCTTTCCCGTACTACTCTGAGGAGGATTCTGCTCAAAGACCTCGGTATGTTTGCGTACAAAGTCCAGCTCGTTCAAGAGTTAAAGCAAGTTGACCATACACACCGTTTTCGCTTCGCTGAGTGGGCTCTAAACCAGTTGAACGATGACCCTGATTTTGAAAGAAAAATCATCTTTTCGGATGAGGCGCATTTTCACATCGGAGGTTATGTTAACAAACAAAACTCAAGGATTTGGAGCACGGAAAATCCACACGTCGTCGTATCAAAGTCCATGCATCCAGATCGAGTAAATGTGTGATGTGGATTTTGGAGTAGCGGCATGATTGGACCCTTTTTTCTTTGAAAATGAGGCTGGCCGCGTCTTTACGAGATATGATAACGAACTTTTTGTGGCAGGAATTGGATGATATCAATCTCGATCAGCTCTGGTTTCTACAAGATGGCACAACTTGCCATACCGCCGCGGCCACCATCAATCTTTTGCGCACAAAATTTAATAATTGTAAAATAAGCTGTTTAGGAAATGTTAATTGGCCACCTCGAAGCTGCAATTTACCACCACTCGACTTCTTTCTTTAGGGCGCTTTGCAGGATAAAGTTTATGCGGATAATCCTCAAACAATTGAGCACTTAAAACAGAATATTCAAGCTCAAATTGCTCAAATAGAGCAGCAAACTCTTGAAAAAGTGCTTGAAAATTGGTGTTCCAGGATGGGCTACTGCCAAGCGAGTCGGGGTCGCCACTTTAATGAAATAATTTTCCATACTTAATCGGAAGAAGTATTGCATTAAATAAAGTTAAATTTGTTGGAAAATAATTAATTTTTCTTAACCTCATTGCTAATTTATAGTTCAACATATAAATGGCCTACCCTTTATGTAAGATAGTCATTGAATTATTTATTAAATAAAGTAAATCAAAATCACTACAATTATTTAAAATTGGGCATTGTTTGCTATACAGGGTGTACCAATAAAAACTCCCAGGCCGGATATTTTGGTAAGTAATAGAGATATTTTAATTTTGTAAAAGCCAGTTCACAAAGCACTAAGAGAGCTTCAGTTTTAGATATAAATTGATTTTAAATAGGTCAATATGTAGATGGCGCTGCGCTCAATATTTTTTTTTCGATGGGAGGATCTTTCTTGTGTAGCGCATCTTGTAAAAAATGCATTTTTAAGCATATTTTGTTCTATAAACTAATTCGATATATCTAGCCATTTTTAATATACAGAGTGGGTCACTTAAAACAGTTTCATCCTGTTTTTCAGCATTAAACATTGGATTTTAAGAAAATGCTAAAACAGGTCGATTTTTATTCCAAATTAAAGACATTTATACAATATAGACATCTGTCATGTGTCAACTCCCTCCCTTGTACTTCTCCACACCTTAATTTTAAATAGGTAATGTACCATGTATGGCGCATCATTGAAAATGTAATTTAATGGGGGATTCAGAAATATTTTTGTAAATTTTGTTACTTAAATTTTATCGCCCTCTAGCGGGATAAAAAACTACTACGTATTATAGAGTGTGATACTACAATGTGTAGTACATCATTAAAAAGGTAATTTTATGGGGAATTTAGAAATATGACTGTTCATTGTGATACTTTTAATTTTACTGCCCTCTATCGGGATAAAAACTACGTATTTTAAAATGTGACACCTTGTTTGAAAGCAAATTTAATAACTAATTCAATGTGCCACATAACATTAATTAATAACATAATATTAATATAAATATCCACATTGCACTTGCAATAGTTTAAAAATTAGTCATGCATTATTTTAAACATTATTACTAACTTTATTTTGTTGCAAGTGCAATATGGAAATATTTATATTAATGTTATGTGACGCATTGAATTAGTATTTAAATTAGCTTTCAAATGAAGTGTCACACTTTATAATACGTTACAGATTTTTTTATCCCGATAGAGGGCGCTAAAATTAAAAGTTTCGCAATAAACTGTCATATTTCTGACTTCCACATAAAATTACTTTTTTAATGATGTGCCGCACATGGTACATTCCTTATTTAAAATTAAAGGGTTGTAGAAGTGGAAGGGACGGGGTTGACACATGACAGATGTCTGTATTGTAAAAATGTGTTTAATTTGGAATAAAAATCGACCTGTTTTAGCATTTTCTAAAAATATAATGATTATTGCCGAAAAACAGGATGAAACTGTTTTGAATGACCCACTCTGTATATCAAAAATCGCTAGATTTATCGAATTAGTTCATAGAACAAAATTTGCTTAAAAATGCATTTTTTACAAGATGCGCTACATAAGAAAGATCCTTCCATCGAAAAATAATTATTGATCGCAGCGCCATCTACATATTGACCTATTTAAAATCAATTTATATCTAAAACTGAAGCTCTCTTAGCGCTCTATGAAATGGCTTTTACAGAATTAAAATACCTCTATTACTTACCAAAATATCCGGCCTGGGAGTTTTTATTGGTACACCCTGTATATTGAAATTTAAAATTATTTTAGTTTTCATTATAAATCATTATTTTTATTTTCCCTGTACAAACTTTAATCCTTGATTATGGATTCCCAAGTAATGCAGAAGTTTTTATTATAAATAGTTTTGTGAAATTTAAGATAGAGGTGTTTTCCACTTGTATAAAACATTTTGGGACATTCTGTATATACAGAAACTCTATCGACAAACGAAGGCGCATCTATAACTTCAAACAATGATTTTAGAAAGAACTTTGGTTTCATATTCAATTAAAATAAATAAACTATATGCCTTAATTAATTTAATATGTCAACTGGACCAATATAAATAATTATAATTCTTTTCTGATCATTTAACGTCTCAATTTGTAGAATCCAATGGATATTTATTTGTTATCTTTGACTTTATTTCAAAGATTATTGTTAGATTTTTTCCTTAAATGTTTAGAAATATTTTTATACCTTATACACATTGAACTTGTCCATTAGCGAGTCAAAACACGAAAACACCGCATTCATCGTACTGACAAGCTCCATTGCATCTTCAACAGTAGAAGAATTGAATCCTACTAATTCGCAAAACATCACAGTTACGGGATCGAAACACTAAAAAAAAGAAAAATTAGTTATTTACAAAAGTACAGGATCAGGACCGTGTTAAGCATGAGGTCCAGAGCGCTTGTTAAATACGGGGACAAAAAATTTAACGAAGACTTTGTAAATATGTATTTGCATTAATTAAAGATAAGTCTTAGTAGAATTATTTAAAATTTCTTTTGTTAAAATCGCATTTTTCTTATGTAGGCGTTGGTATTTTTATCCCAACTCAAATTTAGAGGGCGTTTAGGGCCCACCTGCAAAGTACTCAAAAGAACGGGATAAAAAAATCAATAGTAAAATTATTGAAGAACATTTTTTGTTGGCGCTTCCGCTTCTTACCTTGCAAGTACTCAACGGGCTGTTCCCGGCCCTCAGACAATCCGCCACTGGTTTAGGGATCATGGAATAGAGTAAATCGTCCCCCCTGCGTTTCCACACGTTCAAAAGGGTGTAATTGTTTTCAAGCTCGGAAGCCCTTTGTTCCGCCTTGTCAAACATCAGACGCAATCTGAAAATGAAAAACAATCACCACAATACTCTCGGTATTCATTTAAAATTAATAATATATACACATTTGCGATTTCAACGCTTTGGACGGTGATTTTCGTGATTATATTACTCACAATGTGGTAATTACCTATACATTTAGAATAAATAAAGAAGGCGTGAGTTACCATAGCATAGAAGAATATATAGAAGGTACGATTTTGCATAGTTAGCATTTTAAAATAGTTTGTTTATAAGAAAGTAGTTTAAGCAGTTAAAAGGTGGTTCGTAGTTAATATTCAAGTCATTACCATCTATAGACATTGTATTTAAATAAATTAAATTTTTTTAAAAATCATTTTCGGGATTTCATTTCTGGCGCAGTCAGTAGGATAATTCGGGATCGAGTCGTATCGAACGGATCGATTTTTCGAGTTACTGATTAGACTAATTATGAACTTTCAATTAAAACAAAAAACTGTTGGGGAATAATTGCGAAGGTGGTTTAGAAGACTTCAAGACTTGGGACACACATCGTCCAAATCTACAAGAATTGCAGACTGGTGAAGACAGCATCGCAGATTCAGTGACGTTTTTGAGATTATTAAATAATGATAGTTATTGTAAGTACAATTTATGGCAGATTTAATTTTTGACGAATTAGAGAAACGTTTATTACAATTAAAAATCGATTCACCTTCAACTGATTCAGATACTAATCCAACAGTAGCAACTAATTTACAAGAAGTTGTAAGGGGTTTTCTCGCCACAGAGAAAACGATTCCTTACGAATGACGCTGGTTACGGGCGGTTCTCGAGCGCCAGATTTTTGGTGATGGTTTACTCCACGAACTTTCGAAACGGCGTCGAAAGTACTCGGGTAGCTACAGATGCAGATGAAAAATTCCAGGGGTCAAAGGTCACTTAGACACAGGTAATAGTAGGCCATAAGTAACGGGCTTTAATCGTTGCTTGGGCTGGTACAAAATTAATCACTAGCTGAAATATAAGGGGGAAATAAATTTAAGAATTAACAACCAGTAATACGGCCAGTTAACATTGACACATATATTGTTTTAAAATATTTACAAACGAAAAGGAATAAATTAATGTATTTCAACGCCCACCCTCACGGTAATATGTACAACCCTGAACAAAAATAAACAAACAAAACGGACGGAAATAACTTTCGAGTAGTCTCAATCAGACGTAAAGAAAAAGAGTGAAATCAATACTTGTAATTATCACGGTCGCAGTAAAAGTTTATTATTGAATTGCCTATTCTGTTGTTGAGTTAAAAATGTAACTTGCTATTTCGTTCGGAAATATTATTTCGGTCGTAGCAAAAATTAACGGTTAAATTGTCTAATCAGTATTTACAATCAAATGTAATTGAATACTTCAGTAAAGCAAAATATCATATGCGGTTGTAGAGAATGCGAGGAGACAGGTTCGGGACAATACTAATTCCAGGGCTGAAACCGGGACCCTATAAGAGGCTTACTCACTAGTGGTTGGAAAGTAAAACCAACTAACAACCGGGATAGTACATTATCTCTGAGTGAAGCGATCGTAATCACGAGCCGCTTCAAACTGGGGAATGATACTATTTAATGTCAAATAAATAACGGAGTTTTACATAAAAATAAATTTAATAACCGGGATAGCACGTTACCTCTGAATGAGGCGATCGTAATCACGAGCCGCTTCAGACAGGGGAATGATACTATTTGAATTCATTTACAATAACGGAGACTAACGCAAATGAGGGTTTCAGACGGAAAATAAACTAATAACCGGGATAGCACATTATCTCTGAATGAGACGATCGTAATCACGAGCCGCTTCAGACAGGGGAATGATACTATTTTAGTTCTGTTGAAATAACGGAGACTTAACGCAAATACATTTTTAGATATAAAATGAACTAATAGCCGGGATAACACCTTATATCTGGATGAAGCGATCGTAATCACGAGCCGCTTCAAACTGGGAATGATGCTATTTAAATTCTCTTAAAATTTGCAGTTCGGAGGATAAAACAAAATAAAATGCCTCGTCGCAATTCTACAAATATAACCAATCAAAACATTAGACAATTCCCAAACAGTTCCAAACAATTATTTATTGGATAATGTTTTTAATAAACTGTATTATTTGTTCACGGAAATTTCCTGCAGTAGGAAAAATTAACTATAAGACTATATTTACGATTAAATGAAAAATAAATTATTTAACGGTTAAGCCTTGAAATAAACTAAAATAAAATTTATAATTTATTCACATAAATTTCCAGTAGTAGGAAAAATTAACTATACGACTATATTTACAGTCAAATGCAAAATAAATTATTTAACAGTTAGAACTTTAAATAATTTAAAATGAAATTTATTTATTCGCGGAAATTTCCAGTAGTAGGAAAAATTAACTATACGACTATATCTACGATCGAATGAAAAAAATAAATTGTTTAACGGTTAAGACTTTAAATAAACTAAAATGAAATTTATAAAGAACGGTGTATTCTAACAAGAATAAATTAAAGTATTTCTCAATCAAAACAAATCCCAATTCCTAACTCAACACGGAATATTGTTATTTAAAAATAAATCAAATTAAATCGGTTTCAAATAGTACGGCTTAAAGACTCGGAATCGTTTCTAGCGTTTAATCGACTATTCAATTTGACGGTGTAAAAGCAAGTCTGTTCAATAAATCGGTATATTAGGAACTAAAAATTTTATTTCAATCTCGGACCACGTTTAGTCGTCGCATCCCTTCCACATTAGAAAATCCCACCATTAAAACGCGCGCAAAGTACCTCGACGATGGTTTGAACAGAGATTAAAACTGATGATATACAGGGTATATCCACGAAGTTAAAATTAAGTAAAAATCGAAATTAATACCCGGAATTAGTTAAAAAAAATAATAATGAAAATTGACTTCATTACAAAGTAACAAATAATTTACAAGTAACAAATAATTTGCAAGTAGTAACCAATAATTTACAAGAACAAGAAGTAACAAGTAATTTACAAGGAACCAATAATTTACAATAATTAAATATCTCTCAAACCTAAATTTCTTAATTGCATACCTGAATTCGATGGTAATCCTAATAAATAGATTTTTAGCCGTGAGTGAATCTTTGCTTACACAATTTTATGATAGATAACATCCAGAACATTTTCAAAATACATATTTATTGAACTGAATTATTTTAAAATTAAGGGATAATGCTAAAACGGTAGTTAATATTCAAAATTGTGCAAATTGGAATGATTTCAAAAATACTTTAACTAGAAATTTCTCTGACCAAAGGGATGAAGTTTTTTTAAACAGGGATCTTGTAATGTTAAGACAAAATCAAAATGAATTAGCACAAAATTATTATGACCGATAATAATAATAATAATACTCTCCCTAATTCACCTCCTTACGAGCTTGTGTGGGGAAAGGGACGGCTATTATTATTATTTGCCGTGGCGCTCCGGGGCGACTTAAAGATGATTGATGGTGCCATTTGACTTACAGGCGAGGAAAACCCGGAAAACCCCACCCACCATCATCGACGGTAGCGCATGGTGATTTTTATTTTAAAAATCTGGATGTCATATCAACAGAAATTAAATTTCTGCTAATATGGCATCCATCAAATCCTATAGAGAACCATGCAAATAAATTCACATGGTCTTCCGTAGGATCTGAAACCGTGTCTCGTTTTACTAGAAAATTGGCTGGCATATGAATGCCGCACCGTAGACAGCTACACTACCGTACTCGATAAAGATTTTTACATATATTAAATTTATTAAATGTAGTTATATTAATATACACGAAGTAACAGACGCCGCAAAAAGTTTGAAACGAGAATTATATCAAAATTTGACATTAAAAACATTTTTTTCAGGATTAAAAGAGCCCTTAGGGACCACAATAAGATGCATGATGCCAACCACACTTAGTGAGGCTTTGCAATTTGTTTTGGAAGAAGGTAATGCTCATTATTTGCAAAATTCTTCTCGCAATTTTCAAAATCAAGATTCTTCTCGCAATTTCCAAAATCAAAATTCTTCTCGAAATTTACCAGTACAAAATACATTCAGAAATTTTTCAATACCTAATCCCACTCAAAAATAATAACAATATTTATGTTCCACCGAATCAAAATAGAAATGTTTCAAATAATTTTAACACACCTAATGATTTTTTCTACATACAAGAAGATATAATTTTCCGTCTCAACCTTTTAATGTAAATTCAAGACCCATACAACGTAATTACCCAACTAATGCCCAAGTTTTCGGACAGAATTATCCAAATAAGAATACAAACGTATTCAAACCAAATCAAAAAACAAATTTACCAAACCCTACACCTGTGTCAGTATCAACTAGGAATACTAGACAAAATTATTCGAGACCAGGACCTTCAAATTATTTTAGAAATTCAGTAAGTCAGTCACCAAATTTGACCTCCGAAGAGTTATTTAACTCTCAAACAGAACCTATAATTCAATGGTTAAAAACTCCGTAAATCAATATAATAATGAATATAATGATTCTGAAAAAGTAAATGATATAAAGGTCAATTTCCAAATTTTCGATAAAGGCCTCGTATCAAAATAACTCGTATATATTTCAATAAATTGTGCGAATTTAAGAAAATTACCCTATATAATTTTCCCTGAGCATAATTTAAAAATATTGGTGGACACAGGATCCTCGAAATCATTCATTAACCCTGAAGTAGCTGAAACATTTTACCCAAATGATACAATAGATGAACCATTTGTAGTAACTACAGTTTTCCAGAAATCGGCACATAAACATAGTGTAAATATTTATGCCTCTAAAATTTTTAATCCTAATAATAAAGGAAAATTAAAATTATTTTTATTTGATTAGATTAGATATTATTAAAGTACTGCAAGCAAATATAAATTTTCAACAAGAATGTATTGTTACCCCATTTGCAAGTATACCATTTTATTATCATGTTTGTGCTTCCAATTACTCTAACAATATTAACATAGTTTCAACTGAACCCAGAACTCAGCAAATATTTAAAATAAAGACCTCTTTACTAAACGGCGATAAAATTATTCTTCATCAAAAACTTAATAATTGTGAGATGCCGATATCAGTACAAAAACACTTAATTTGTCAAAACCCATTTTGGTAGATAAATTTGAAGGGAAAGAAATCCATGTAATAATAAAGGTGTACATTCAAAACATATTAAAACAAAACCTAACAGTTTAGGAATAGCATCCTTGGATGTAAACGAAGATGGTAATAACAAAATAGTTCCACAAAAGTTACCCAATCCACACCCTAAATTGGATCAAAAATTAGACAAAGTTCAAGTATATAAACTAATAGATATTTATACACCAAGCGAATAAATGGGTAGTCCTGTTATGTTTATAAATCCTGTAAGCAACCTTTTTATTATTAACCAAGCTCCTAAGCTGCGAGGAATACCAATGTGGAATTTTTTTCGTAGAAACTTTCATAATGGGAACAAATAACTCAATTACGGAAAACAGAGCGCCATAGATAATAATATTATAAGTAACTTTTATTTGAAGAATTTTCCTCTCCAAACGTAAATAACGGATATATTTCATAAAATATAAAAATGACCACCAATAAAGTACCCCCCAAATGTTCCGACTCTGCCCAAAATCTAATCAGTTCACCTCAGGCTGGAATAAAGCTTAAGTTTAAAATTTGGTGTTTTTCTTTGTATCGGTTTATGAGTTATGCGTTATACAGACATACACACACACACACACACACACACACACACACACACACACACCGCACGCACGCACCCACACACACACACACACACACACCGCACGCACGCACGCACCCACACACACACACACACACACACACACACACATACACACACACACACACACACACACACACACACACACACACACACACACACACATACACACACACATCATTCCGAAAATAGTCAAAACGGATTCATCGGACCCCAAAACGTAAAAATCCGTCGAAAACTGGAGGTCGAAAAAAATCATGATTCCTATACTTTCCTTATCTGTATACAGATAGGGAAGTAAAAAGATATTTATAAACCAGTAGAAAAACACACCTCTCTCCAATATTAAGTTCATTTTTAAAGATTAAGAAAGTTATCAGTAAAAAATGATTATCGGCTTGTTAGTGGCATATGATTCGCAGCACAACAATCACAATAACTAAAAATATTCTTTAGAAATATTTTGTCGAAATAAAGAAACAATAACATCGTTTGGGGCTAAATAGATAGAACCGTCTCTGTAACAATCGATTCTAAGTAAATGGAAAAATTACCCTCTGCATATTTATTACTCCTTGACGTTTTTATTCTAATACACTTCGGCAGGGATATATCCAATTTACAATAAAAGAACGCAAAGATATTTCAAGAATTCGTAATTCTGATTTTTCTCATCACACTTCTTCACATCACAAAGTCGCTAGAGAAAAAATGTTCGGAATTCCTTAAAACAGACAGGCGGATTAGCATTATTACCGAATATATTTTTGTTGTATATTTGGATATATTTAGGTGAATTTATACAATTGTTAAAACACAGTTTAGTCCAAAATAAAGCGATTAAGGGAGGATTACTAGTCATTCATTGTACAACTTAGGTACTGCGAATAAATTACCTATACTCCTGTCTATTGATAATAAAAATTAAATGATAAATCAAGAATCCACAAGGCAGGATGTTGACAACAAATAGCGTTAGTTTACACAAATAATATCTTCTAGAGCGTATATCAGCAATTTAGAACAGTTTTTCTTTTTTCCGTTCATTGGATAGTAGGAAAATTAAATAAAAAATCTAGTATTTAAGCTGTCAAATATGCACGTTACAATATGGCATACAGCTTTCATCGTGAATGAAAAATTGACAGAAACTTGTACTTACCTAGAACTGCTGTGCCAGCCAGCTAGTACCATTTCCTTGCTTAGACCGTGAGGGTTTAGATCGGTTAGGTAAAGTCCCTGATCTGGTAATTCGTTTATATCATTTATTCTAAAAATAAACAATGGTATGGCTGAAGAATAGGACAAAATACCAGAATAATATTTAGTACAACAATATATTGTAGAATACTATTAAGTTTATTCAATACAAATAATACAATTAAAATATAAAATTAAAACTTCCAAAACTGAATCCTCCATTCAAATTACAATGACAAAAAATTTCAAAAATTGTCATTGTTGTATGAATTTTGTAAATGAAGTTCTTTAATAACATTTTTCTTTGGTATAATAGCAATTTATTATACATTTTTACTGCAAGATGGTGCTTAAATTCCGCAAGGAAGTGTATTGGATCCGATCTCCTACATTTTGTATAGTGATCTACCAGAAATAGCGACTTAACAATATATAAAAAATGTAATTGATTGTACTTTGTTGATTATAAAGGAAGAAAAATGAAGTTAAAAATATTAGTCTTTAAATAGAAAAAAAAAAAACGAATTTTCCTCAATAAATATTCTTATTTCGATTCCACAAAGTGCCATATTTGATCATTTATATCATTCTTATAAAAGACAATTTACGACGGGCAATTGGCCTCTTTTGGAAGCAATAAAAAGATATTAATTAGATTTTATTACCCGAAATATTACATGTGTTACTAAATTTTAGGATATGGGCGTCCCTACACAAAAGTTGTCTAGAAATGAACTAGGTTATGTAAAAAGCTACATTCACAAAAACTTAATTTTGAAGAGTACATAAGTTTGAAAGAAGAAGAAATAACATACGAATGGAAATGAATTATTTAAAAAAATATATTATGGGTTTTTTTTTGATTTTTTATAGTAAAGGATCATAAGAATTATTGTTAGTAATTTTAATTACGGCTAATAATGTAATAATAATATTATTTATAATTATTAAGGTAAAATTAGGGTAATTAAAATATTTTTTAAAGATAAATTATTATTAAAATTTATATTTACAATTTTTGTACCTTGCATATTTATTAAATAATATAAATAAAACAAAAAAAATAATAATATTGGTATACCTAATAATTAAAATTCTTTTAATAAGGATTATTACATTTTTGTTAAATTAAAATGTTTGATTAAAAGCAATTCTAGTACATAAATAAAAAGTCATACTATAATTAAAAATAAAATATAGGAATATAAAAAATTATGACTTATCAAGCCTGATAAAAATGTCGTTAAAATTGTTTGAATTAATTTACAAGAAAGAGGATGATTTCCAAAAATAAAAACGAGTATTAGAGTATTTATTAATAATAAAAGTATAATCAAAGTAATGTCAGATATTTGTTTTATTTAAAGTTCTAATTTTGGAGATTAAAGAAAATTTTTTGTCTGAAGTTTTAGACGAAATGTCTTAAATTTGATTTATGAGACAAATTTTTGAATTTAATCCTTTAACAATAATGAAAATATATTTATTAAATTTTATATTTATATCGGGAGCAATTAGGTTTATTTTAAAACATAAGCATTTGTTATTAATATTTTATTCTTCAGAATTTATTGTAAGTTATTTATACAGTGAGGCGTAAATGTTGGAATAAATTTGATATTTTCTTGTCTAACAGTATGTCATTATGATATTTTAAAATTCGGATCTATTCCGGAGGAATACCTACAATTTCCACGAAAACTTTCAAGTACTTCGACATGTACCTACTAATATTTTTTATGAGCTGCCTTAAATTGCCGAGCACTAGTGTTACTGTTGTGAACTCCATGTGAGCGATTACAACCAAGGAATAACATGTGATTTTTAGTAATAAAATAGGTGTTTTAAGGCACTAATATACTTGTACATGTCATTTAAAAAAAATTCGATGCCTTTATACTTTTTTAAAGACAAATGCTTTTTGTAATAGAGCTATAGTAAATTTCTAGAATTTAAGATCAAAAAGATTGTTTAACATTTTTATAAATCTAATTGTTGAACCAGCTTCAGCAAATTTTCTCATTTTACGCTCACTCAATTTCCCAAATACCGTCCTGCGCATTGTTTACTGTGACGTATACTTAAGGCATTTCTTTATAAGCCTACTACAACATATTTGGTTACAGTATTGTGGTTACTGTGGTGACGTCACACATACCGTGGTAACCCTATTATTTAATGTCATATGTCAAAGTTAATTTAAGTTTGGGGATTTCTAAACGGAATTTGAATTTTAAGAAATTTTAAGATGTTATTATTTTATTATTTTTAATATAGTATGTTTTAGTAAGCTTATAAATAAATGCCTCGTTAGAATGTAGCTACATATGTTATGGTAACATATGACTTCATCAGTGTAACTAAACCTTATAAAGAAATGATCTGGTAACATAAATATGTTCTAGTAAAGAATGGTAAGCTTAAAAAGAAATGCCTTTAGTTCTGGAATGTTATTCCAGGTAATTTCTTCTTATGATAGGGTGACAATACGTACATCATTTGGCTGTATTGTAAAGCATTGGATATTGTGTACAGCAAAACGCCTTATTTGTCCAGCAAAACGCTGCATTGTCTAGCGTCCAGCAATGTAATACATAGGGTTGCCAGACGTCACGCTTAAGGCGTATTTTCTACGCTTTTTGACTTTATAGAAAAATGCTTGGTATTTGAACCTGATACTCTGTCGTCATGGTTGCCACACTTTTCACTTTCGTAAATCTGGCAACCCTAGTAATACATAATTTACTGAAACTTTCAGATAACAACGTAATGTGAAGATAAAAGAAGATCATCGGTTCTCTAAAAAGGTCCTCTGGTTCTCTACATGTTGTAATTTATATATTTGGGAAGCTAAAAAACAAATATTCCAAAGTTCCAAGTCTAGTGGTTCTATATATCGACCTCCCTGGGGAGGGGAATCTGTTTGAAATCGTTAGTTTTTTTCTCTAACCATTTAGACATGGGAGAGGAAGAGGGAGGGGTTGGGCAGAAGTAATTTTTTTTTCGTTTTTCGTGATCCTCTATCCGTTCATGTAATATCTTTCATGTCGATTCAAAATTAAAGGATGCTATGTTCACTATAGATTAATTTGTTGATCAATGGATTTCATATATCGAACATTAGAAAAAAATACTATTTCCAAAATGTTTTTAATGATAACATTAAAGCTCGTCAGTAGCTACTAAACAACAATAAAAAAGAAAATCGGTTTACAATAAAAAGAGAAAATGATATTTAACTATTTTATCTTTGCTTATTTATACAGGGTGACCCATTAGTGCGTAATTGTTTAATATATCAATTTGTGTTATAGATACGCAAACAAGTTTCAAATAAAAGTTATATGGATAGAAAAAAATACACATCTTAAAAATATTTTTTGAAAAACAGGGTATTGCGTTATTGCCTTTCAAAAAAAAAATGTATATTCAACATGTAACTAACACATACACAGGGTGCCGCGTCAGTGATTAATTGGTCGATAACTGTTTTATTATTGGAAATACGAAAAAAAATTAATAATAAAGTTCTATGGCCATATTTAATAATTATCCTTAAAATACAGGGTGCTCCATAAACGAGGGGCTGACCAAACCTACACATTTTTAAAACAAAACACTCTGCACGTAGTTGTACATATTTTATTGTTTTTACATCGTCAAAAAATTTTAATTGACTTAACTGATATTATTTAAAAAAAGAAATCAAGGATTGAATAGCGTGTTATCACACCATTCTAAAACTGAAATAAAATACAGGATGTTCAATTTAAAAAATATACATTTTTATTAGCCAGGCAAAAACAAATTGAAATAGTGAACAAGTACGTACTAATGGGACACCCTGTATATAGATTAACACACGATGCTTCTATTATTTCTTGTGGATCATTTTTCCTAACTTTAAAAATTATTTAACTTGGAAATGACATTTCTGTACTTGTTGCACAATATGCTATTTTTCGAATTGAGAAATCAAAGCAAAATTAGATAAAACCCAATAAAAAAGCAAACATCGACATTGGCCTTGAAAATAAAGCTCCTTCCTAATAAAAAAAGTGTATTAGCGCTACTCACACAGGGCTACAAAGATAAATAATCCCTTTGATATCGCTCAAATACATCATCTGTCCTTTGAGAAGGATATTCCGTAATCCTGGCTGACTGTCCCGTCTTGCGGAGAAAGGAGATATACTTTTGCCATCAATTTCAATCTCCCTACACTTTAAATCGTCGCCCAACGTGTTCTGATCCTCTTCGAAAGTTTTGCAAGTCCGTAAGCTCGATTTCATTAATTCTGATCTCAGGAGTTCAATTTCGATCATAACAGATTTCAAATAGTACATCTAGAATCAACAGATAAAGATCAGTGAGTGAAATTACCTTAGAAAGTTGCATCTTTTTATTCTAATCTAATTTTTGTATGTTCTATAATATAAAATCATTGCACGATAATACTATCTTTGATCGACACATACCGAATTTTAAATTTTTCATTTAATTAGCCCAATATTTTCAGTCAAAATGTGATAATTTGTAGTTGTCTGGTGGTTAACAGCTCAGTTTCATGATTTTGAGTTTATTAATAATTATTCTTTACTGCATGATATACTGCAATGTTATACCGTGGTATAAAGACTAGAGAGAAGAAGGCGAATCAAATTTACATCCTTTTTATAAAGGTCGAACGTTAGTGACGTTAATTTTCTATGTAAATCAATGTGAAATAAAGTGTTTTTTGAAAAATTAGTGAAAAAAATCAAAACATGAGTGACAAACATCAAAGAAAGCTTTACTTCGTTCCAAGTTGTAAAACGGGATATAAATCAGATGTAAAATTAAAGAAAACACAAGGAGAAATCAATTCAAAGTTTTTTTAAAGCATCAAGTATAAGTAAAATAATGTATTTATTGTATCCTAGTCACAACCCGTATCTTTCGGAGTACAGTCTATTTGGTAAAATTTGAAAATACACAAAACATTTATATTTTGTTGTCGGAAACCAAAAGAAATCATTTTTTTATACTTTAATAATTAAATTTTGAGTTAATTTAAAAATTCATATTTATTTTGGTTGTGATTTGACATTGAAGGATGCAATATAAGAAGTACATAGTTGCCAAGTTGTGTATTATTTCTTAAATAAAAGGACTATATTTTTGATATATTGAAAATTAAACATGAGTTGGAATTTCAATAAAATTATCGATACCTAAGCCTTGCTAATATACGCCGATACCCGAACGGCGGCTATTACTATTGAAAGTTTACAGAAAGTTTCTAGACACTTTAAAACACATACACATAACTCAAAAAATTATATATTAAGGCCTTATAAGGGTCATTTATATGTACACCTATTCAATAGAATTATATCTGTTTTCAATTAAAATAAACGAAAGAGAAATATAAAAGGTACCTTATTCTTAACATAACATAAAAATTTTGGTTGAATGGTAATGGTTAGGGTTGCCAAACATCACGCTTTGGGCGTATTTTCCACACTTTTTGATTTGCTTGTACGCTCAACGCCACAGTACGAAAATGTCCCTCTTTTGACAAAAATGACACTCTTTTTATGCAAATGTAACTCTTTTTAATATCTAAAGTCATAAATAAAAAGGAGGAAGTGGATTTATAGAAAAATATAAGGTGAAGACTTTTTTTTAGAAATTTCCACAAATAATAGACCTGATTATATCAAAATGCTATGTCGTTACGGTTGTCTCGCTTTTCACATTCGTAAATCTGGCAACCCTAGTAATGGTACATAATAATTAAATATTAATATTAGACAATCTATAAAATAACAATGTACTTTTCGAATACTTTTAAACATAAATACTTTGTACTATCTAAAAGTTTTTTACACTTTTTTGAAACAAGGGAATTTTTCTACACCTGTATTATAATAATGCACTTATATGCCCATAATCCGTTTCATAATGATACCCATTATGATACAGATTTTTCATTATGATACAGATTTTTAATCAATAGAAACCTACAATTTTTCAATCAAGCATGATGTTTGACGTTTGTCCTAAATTCCTATGTAATTGTTTTAGTTGTCAAAACGTATTAAATTTTCGTAGATAGCTAAACTTCGATAATTATAATATTAAAATGTCTGATATCAGCGATATAGAAGACTCCTCCACACATATCGGAGAAAGGAAAAAATGCAGTACAAAATATTTTGCCCCAAAAATCTGTGGTAATACCAATACCCAAGGTAATACCATTAATTACAATTTTGTAGAATTTTTTATAGAAATACGAGTAATTACTGTTATTGTGTTCAATGCCAATATAAATAGAATATTTATAGGTCTTGATTATTTATCGGGTGTAGAAAAAATAGCGTATGCAACTCTCATGTAATGGTTATTAAAACACTCGCATAAACCATACGAAACTCGCCTTTGGCTCCTTTCGTATCCCGGTTAATGCTCGTGTATTAATAACCATCATTACATGATCGTTGCATAATATACTATTATTTGATTGATGAAAAACACGTCAGACAGCGAAATTTAAAGAATACTATCAACTAAAGAGGATAGCTGAATTAGTTCGATTTCTGCTGGGTTAGCCCTGACGTCATTTATTAGGTACAGCTGCATTTAATTTAAAATGTACATCGATACACCCTTTTCTTAAATTAGGACGTTAAACATTTTTCATTTTTAATATAAAAAGTATTTCTGATATTCAAACGATTATTTTGACACGGAAGAGAGATAATAAAACATACCATAAGAGCACGCTTTGCTCTTCTAACCCACCTTTTAACCATTACAGAATTTCGAAACGTCGGTCGGGCGTCACCCTTTTCCAGCTATATCATAAGAGTACCCTACGCTCGTCCCACGTGTGTCCTGTGTCCTAACAACTACAGGAAAGAGCAAGCGAAGCGATCACACCCTTTTCACTACCTGGCTTCACCCGCTGTCTTGTAGTAGTTAGATAGAGCATAGACGAGTATAGCGTGCTTTTATGCTGTGGATGGCAAAAGAACGCGCCCAGCCGACGTTTCGAAATTCGCGCGAATTTTGAAACGTCGGCCGGGCACGCTCTCTTCTTTCGCACTCTTCTGTGTTATTTCAGAGTCGGATAGAATGAACATAGCTCTTATGGTGTAGGTGTACATTTAGAAATTCGTGCGAACTTCGAAACGTCTGCCGGGCGCGCTCGCTCTCTTCTGTAGTGATAAGAAGCGAATAGGACGAGTATTCGCTCCGTGCGCGACAGCAGCGCCAATTCGTTTTGGTACTAATGGACTATTTCTGTGTATACTGACAAATACAATTTTTAATAGAATTCGTAATTAAAAAGTATATATGTTAGTTTTAATAAAAGTATATGGATTTGTAAAACACGTAAAACATTAATTTATTATTATTATTATATAGTTTATCGCTTAAGTTAAAGAAAATTATGTATAATCAATAAAAATTAATAATAAAATATAGGCAGGCAACAGTATTTACTGGAAAATGTATAAGAAGTTGCCTAAGTCTAATAAGATGTCATTGAAGAATTAGACTATTCTGTCAAAATAAAAAAAAAACATTTAATAATAGCGTGAAGTTAAAATGTATAAAAAAAAGGATCGTTATTTATATTTTAATTTTTGTTCGAAAAAAAAACAGAATGAATGATTAAAACTGGTTTCCCATCAGTCATAAAATTGGATTCCAGCCACCAGCCACATATAATAATCAAAGGCAGAAATCGTGAAATCTAGTCCTTGCTGAATGAATATTTAAGAAAAAAAGGGATATTAAAGAACATCGTAAAATGATAATTTATTGTTTATTTAAAACTTTTCAAGTTTCTGATGTTTACTATTTCCAGCATTACTGTTATTATTACAAAAATAAAGGTAATTTTTCTTCTTATTGTACACCTATCCATTTATTTCTTTCATTTAATTTCCACTTTGCTACTGAAATTTTTTATATAAGTTTCACTGTTTTTTAGCTAGTATTTGAACAATTTTCAACACAGCTGGGGCAGGGGACAGCTCACTTAATTTTGATGAAGGTCGAAAGTATACATAAAGCTTACAAAGCATAAGATATAAGCTAATTTAGTAACAGGAGTGAACAATAATGCATTTAAGCACCTTACTGCTTATTGTATTGTTTTTACCTACTTTTTGAAAAAAAGTAAAATGTATACGTGTATTTGATATGCCAAAATTACAAAATATCTCCCTAAAATGCACGAATTATCCGCAGCTAGCGCTAGTATCGCTTTTGCTTTCCTTTCCATGACTTCACACGGAGCGAATAGCGTAGATAGCAAAAGGTCGCGCCCGGTCAACGTTTCGAAATTCGCGCGAATTTCGAAACGTACATACCTAATTACATACCTAATTTGTATCATGAGTTTACATATTATAAAAGATCCTGATAAGCCATTAATATAAAAAAAAATAAAAAATGTTAATTTATGGGGTTTTGGTGGTATATTTGAAAAGTACTCTACTTCCTAAAGCGTAAACAAATTGTATTATTAATAAAAGAGCATCTTCCCAATATTTACCAAAAAGAGTATTTTGAAATGTGTTTCAGAGGGTCTAAAATAGCCTTTAAAAAACGCGAAAATTTAGCCCATTCGGACAATGGGGAATTTTTCAACCTTACCATTAGGGTGATCCGAAATTAAAAATATTTTTATGTTTTAATTGACTCAACTCTGAATGTAAACACTGGCTACACTGTATTTAGAAGGAAACATAGATTTTTATAAAGAAAATCTAAAATATGTCATAATACAAATTAATAAATTAAAACATAAATAATAACTGAGTTAGTTATCAACTGATTTTACATTATAGTTAAAATGGCATATTAATGATAATTTCTTTATTTTTAATAATTTTATAATAGGTAAACAATATAGTCATTTTTGATTTTTCTACTCGAAAAATGGTGAAACATCCAAAATATAAAACGAAAAAATTTAGATGTAATAGTAGTGCTCTACAGACACTCCTTAAATGTTACCTCTGATTCAACAGATAAGTCTATAATAAATCATTTAAATTTGAATAAGTCTCTGTGAATTAGAATTTGTCGCTGTTTTATCTGAAACCTTATTTAATTATAATGTCTTAATGGTTAGTGATTTTCTATATTTTCATCACTAATCGATTGTCAAGTTTAGAAAGTTTTAAATATAGTGGCGCTCAACATTCTTTTTCAAAGTAATACGAGTTGTTTAATAACCTGACCCACTCCCCAAAATGAAGAGATTAAAACACTATAAAAATAAATAAAATAGCAACACCAGCGCCCATGTGATGAATTGGCAAAGTTCAATTGGAGTTCGTTTTTTGGGACCGATTCGCCTCCTTATGTCGAGTCTTTATATACCTTAGTAACCAACCTCTTTTTATGTTTGTTAATGGAGTTATTACGGGCTAGTTCGGTAATAGTAGTTTATGTTACAAGCCCGTTACCTAGATCTTTACATGCGAGCAGGTAGAGCTCAGGTAACGGCCGTGTATCGTACAACATTTTATGATAGATATATTGCAATTTACTACGTTTTACAAGCTAAAATTAAATAAAATTTTATCATTTGACCCCATCGTTACTTATAATAATGACAGTTCAGTTACAATTGGCAGATTAGTTACAACTGGCAGATCAGTTACAACTGACAATTCAGTCATAACTATTGTTAAAATTTTTACCGGGCTAGTCCGTTATGACTTATAAAAACCATAAACAGAGGTTGGTTACCACGGTATAACATTGCAGTATATCATAAAAATGTTAACAACAGGTTGTATAACGTAGTAAATTGCAGTAAATCATAAAACTTTGTACGATACACGCCCGTTACCTGATCTCTATGTGCTCGCACGATCCTGTAACGTGCTCGCATGTAAAGATCTAGGTAACGAACTTATAACGTAAACTACTATTGTTTGTCGCGCCTATATCAATGATAATTTGAATAAAAATTTAAGTATTTCTCTCTTTGTTTTTTCTAAGAGGTACAAATCCTAATTTACCTCAGTCCAAAAATCGATAGTTTCCAAAATTCAAGGTGCCAAAGTTATTATTTTTTAAAGTTGATTTGCACGAAATTTGTTACTTGGCGATTTTAGAAAGGAAAATCAAGATTTAAAAACAATTTCGATGTCATTTGCAGACAGCGCCACCAGCAGCATTTCGCCTAGTATGGATTTACGAGAAACTTGTAAAATCCCTTTTTTTAATTATTTGTATTATTTGAATGCATTTATTTTATCACAAGCGGTAATTTATTATTATGTAATTTCGGACGCATGTGTATCAATAGCTGAGTGTGTTTAAAATTGGTATTATAACCGTATTATTTTTTAAGTTTTCCTCTTTTGAAATACTGTTAATTAATTTGTAGTAATATTTGTAATTAGGGACCACATACAAAACATAAATATAATATGAAGGCAACACTTGTCGAAGAAAGATTTTATTTAATAACTTATAAATAGTAATAATTGACACAGGCACTTCGACCGTAAGCCTGTTACAACTGACAACTAGCAAATACATGACATTTATGACAATATTTTTTTTCGATATAATAATACCTGTTGCGGTATTAGCCCAGGGAGTAGTTATTTTCAGGAAGAAAATGGTCGCTCGACTTTGTTGTGCCACGGACTTTGAAATTTTCTGTTTTCCTTTATTTTTCATTTCGAATTGGTCACATTTGAGAATGGGAATTTATTTCCTCTATATTTTTTTTCTTTACATATAGCAAAATTGAAATTCAAATATCATGAAAACGGTTACAGTTAAGAATGCTTTTTATACCACGAATTTTGCTTTGATACCTATCTTTATTAAATAAATCACGCATCAAACATCTAGACATTGACAAGTTTCTGTGTATCTTTACTTTAAAAAAAACTCTAAAATTATTTGCACCTAAAACTTAAGACGCCTTATTACTCGTAGATCGCTACAGGATTAACAAAGCTTAAGAGCTATGTGAGTTTTTATTGGGACATTCTGTATACATGAATTAAAAGAAGATGATTGGAGACCTCACAAATTAGGCATTACATACATTCAGCATTATATGATTTTTAAAAAAATTAAGGCACAACCTAAATAAGGTTGAGAATCCCTATTTGAGCTATATTAACATGTTTCAAATCGTCACCAAGATTTTATATCGTATTTCTGCATTAAAATTTAATGTTTATCTTGGAATATTAATATCTATAAACTAACAAGCAACAAAGTTCTAACACAAATATGACTAGCTTAATTTTAAAGTAATAAATTCCACTTACATTATTCCATGTCAAGGAAATACCCTTCGGCGCTCTGAGTTTGAAATATTTCGTGAAAAGTTGCCCAAGTAACTTTTCCTTGCCGCCAGAAACTTCCACTAACTTTTCTCCCACACCGATTATGGTGAGCGTCGGATCCAGTAGCACAGCAAATGGAAATAATTCCAATAAAACCGAACAAGAAAACGGGGGCAGGTCACATTTGATTTGATTGTCTTTGGCTGCTGTTTTTGTGAGCATCTGTGGAAATATAAAAATGTACAAATTGTTTAAGACATTAATAGACTAAAAGCTAGTGGCCGCGAAGGTATTACGATATGTCTGGTTCCCTTGTTAGGCCATTCAGTAAAGACATCCTATTTTGAACTCTTCACATTAATTACAAAAGTTTTCAAACTTTGCAATAATAATCAGCTAGTTTAAATAACACTAAGTTTAAATTTGCAACCATTTCCAAGGTCCGAAACTAGTTAATTTATACCAAAATGGCACTTTTGTTTATAATGTTCAAAAAAAAATTTAAACAGCTGCAAACTTGAAGCATTATATATTGTATTATTTTTAACATTATATCAAATATGCAACTTATTTGAAAGTCCAGAACATGATTTTTTTGTAAAATAACGTTTTTTGTTTATATCACAGACAAAAATATTGCAAAACTACTGAAAATCGATGACATAACTCATACAAGTTTTTGGAACAGCCATTTCAATTGCCTGTAAATTGTCTATGACCAATTTTGCATTGCGAAATTAATAGAAAAGTGTCTAGGGGAACAAATAAAAATATTCATAAGCAATATGGAATTTGCAACCTTATACTTATCAAGCAAAATATTTAAATAATTTCTGGTTTTCGTTTTTTATCGAGTTTACAGAGAATATTTATATTTAACCCATATTAAATAATTGACCGGCACAGTATAAACTAGTACATATAAGAGAAAACAATCAATATCGTAAAACGAGCCAAGAATAAGAAATTAACCCAATACCGTTGTAAATAGGCCATTTAGGCCATTTGTTTTGGGTTACATCGAACCGTCGCGTCGACATCGGTCTATTACAGTTTTAAAATAGAGTTTATTTTTCAAGAAAACGTCGCTATGTTATAACTACCAATTGAACTGGACGAGTGTAATTCATTGATTCGTGAAAAAATAAAAAAATCCTGAGTAGATTTGAACGAAATATTTTTATAAAAACAGACAATCAAATTAGTCGTTATAAAAGCATCTAGTGTACAACTCGAATGGATAAGTTTTGTTCCCAAAGTAATGGATTCGGAGCATCATTAGACATTTACTTTGATTGCCCGAATGATGACACCCGATAACGAATACCAAGATCCAGACTTTCCACATATCCAATTTTAAGAATCAATGAATTTAGAAGAAATGAATATTGAGATAACTAATGTTTTTGACAATCCTAGACCATACCGTTTGCAGAAACCAAAATTCTCATAATTTAAATCATGTTTTGTTTTTGTAAATTTAATTATAAACAGCAGTTTCATAGTACCTTAATTTTTATATTATTTCCTTTCAATTTTATTTTTCAAATTTGTGAAAATCAAAAAATATTTAAATTTTGTTTGAACCAACTGTCTCAAAGTTTCAAATGATGTATTACTTTTGTGACAAAATACCGTTTATCATTTCCTTGTTTTATCAATAAATTTCTATAATTTTTACAACGATAAAAATCTAATAAAAAAAACGTATGCAATCACAGTAGTTAATGTGACAAATACCAACCATTTTTTTTAGATGTTTGCTGAAGCAATTATCATAGAAAAACGAATGAATGTTTAAAAATTATTGACAAGTGATCCTATTAATAAATGTTTTCCTATTTTTCACATTAATTTGAAATTAAAATTTAAAATGACGATATATAAATTTTGCAAATGTTCTTCACGTTTAATATATTAATTTTGTAACAGTATTACTAATTGATACGGTGTTCTAGAACAATGTTTAAGGTGGCCGAAAATATAGCTCCAATCTGAGTCACAAGAGGGTTCTGGCAGGTCCCCGGAACCAAAATATATATTTCGTCAAATCGTAATAACTCTTTATTTTGAATGGCGACAATTTCAAAATTCTGCGGTGGGCCATATTTTGGTCGCTCTCAAAAATGTAGAAATTTGCATTTTTATGCCAATTTTTGAAAATTTTACAGAAGCAAGCAATCAAAATACACGCTCGGCCGTTACTGGATACCGTATTTGTACAAATATGGCACCTCTATACTTTAGACTCTAGGATGTGGGGGGTTTCCTGCAAATAATCGAAATATTCTGAAAATGTAATATCTCATGATATTCTAGGCCCCTGTCTCATCACGTAATCTCTCGTTATAAACAACTGCCCTAATATTTACAAATAATTAAACATGAACATGCTCGTTCGGTTAACATAAACATAAACAAACACTTTGGGCGTATACAATTTTTTTTCAACAAAAGTAGAATCTAATTTAGTTCAATTCTCTCCCGCTAAAGGTCATTGAAACTTCAATTTTCCTACGTTTTTGCAAATAGCTATCATTTATAAACACAGCTTTCCCTAATTCGGCTTGCATATTTATGTTTTGATCTGAGTTTTTTTTCAATATCAGAAACAAATATCTGTACATAGTTCTGTCTAGAGTGACAGCCCTGATATTTGACTAAATACTATTTTTTACCAATATATTTCTGATAACAGATAACTGCAAATTAAGAAAGGTTTCTTACTAAAATTTCTGTACATTAACATATACGTTAATATATAACAATAATATAACAGCAGTTACGCTAACGTTACGTTGATGCAAACGCAATTTTTAATTGACACGTAGCGCTTCTTGTCATCTGTTCCAAAACAAGGAAGAGTAAATTCGTCTTAAGAACAGAAATGTAAGTTCAAAAAAAAAAATGATATTTGTACCTATATCTTGTTTACAGTTTGTGAGGAAGAAGAAGAATTACTGGGTATATCGTTACTTAAAAGTTCCCGTTTACTAAAGGTTAAAAGGTGCTTTCATATTAAGTTTTTTGACTCAAGAAATAATGACAAATATTTTTTAATTATGTTCGTAATGCTCATTGATGAACTGAATTTAATGCTTAAATAATACTGGACCATTTAGGAATGTTCTTTTATTTATTTTAGAATAATTTGTGTGTAATTCTTGATACAAATTAATATATCTTTGCAACGCCGATGTACCGCTGAGACGTGGCGTCGAGAAAGTATCCTTTGACTTGACTGAATGTATTTCGATGCCACCGATCGTTGCGTCGATGCGACTGCAACAAACGTTCGCGAGCGCTGGCCCTTAAAATGCGGATGTTACTCGAGATGTTATTTCATCTTGTAAATTTGAAACATTTATCATGATATCTGCAATAAATATGTTTAAATACTCGATAGGCATTTCTTACTAAAGTTACGTTTAGAAATATTTTATTACACTCAGATTACATGATGCGTCATTTATAAAAGTATTTAAAATACCTATGTCATTGAGACATAAAAATATTTGTCCATCTATATTGGCCTGTTGTAATTTTCAAAACTTTTGCATTTTTTGACAAAATTAGAGGAAAATAAAAAATTATTTTGATTTTTTTACAAAAAAAAAAATTGTTCCGTGCAATATAAAAGGTTGCAAATTGAAATAGCTGTTCCAAAAACTTGTATGAGTTATGTCATCGGTTTGCAACACGTTTGCAATTTTTTGTCTATGATATAAACAAAAACACTATTTTACAAAAAAAATCATGTTTCGGACTTTCAAAAAAGTTGCAAATCCGATATGTTGATTATTTTTTTCGTATAACTTTTAACCAATTAGAACGTTCAATTTAGTTAAGTTACCTCGTATAATTTCGATAATACCTGATTATACATAGAGTAGCTCCACCAATCAAAAATATTTACAATAATTTCGTTTCCGTAGTAACCACATCGACAACAATACACTAACTAACAGGACCGTCAAATTTTGACGTTTATCAATAAATATTTTAAAATGAGTCGATTCGGAGATGTATCATTAAATGCAAATTGTTGATATTTACTTATTTACTCAAAAAATAATCGTATCAAATACAATACGTACTTCAAAATAAATACGGTTATACATCTCAAACTTCCTGCATAATTACAAATCGTGTCAATTTGACAGAATAATCCTCCCGCTTCGCGGTCGGATTATTTAAACTGTCAAACTGATACTCTTTATAATTATGTAACAAGTTATCGATGTATAACCTGATTATTTTGAAGTACTTATAGTATTACTACTGAAAATAATACAGTATAATATATTGCTTCAAGTTTGAAGCACTTTTGCAAAATTTTTGAGAAAGTATTTAAGAAAGTGTCGTACCTATGGCTGGCATTTTGTTGGTCGGACCATCAGAAAGTATCATCTGCAAGGATTTAATTAATAAGCTCTGCAAAGGACACTTCAGATAACTCAGAGATGTAAAAAGAGGTTAGTTTTGTTTGTAAACTGACTGTAATTTGATATTTTCAGAGCCTATTTTTAAAGTTTTTGGCGTTTCTGGTATGTTGTTTAATGAATTTTATTAGGTTTAACTAACTATTAATAATATTTTCGTTATCTCCAAAATATACACGTATTTTTTTTTGTTAAAATCACATCATCTCTATTATTCGCAACACAGCAATCGAGAGCTGGTGTTGAACAGAAAAGACAATCCATCAATGTCTTCGCAAATTAGTGAGCGACACATTCCACGCTCCGCAAAGTTTAATGGTGTGATTAGTTCGGTTTCAAGGTCGTTCCGGTCACTTGTTTCAAGACCATTACGGTCCTAAAAGGATTTACTTAATTACCACCGAATCGAATTGCATTCTCTTCTTTTGGCATGATAATTACTATGTTGTTATTAGTATTAGTGTAGATACGAGGTTACGTGATCAAGAAGTTTATTATTTTCTTGACTAGATGCTTTAAATATATGAAAACATATTCGTAGTATAGAAATATACTGTATGTGCCATAAAAAAAATAAAAGATTAAATATCTCAAATATAAACGTTTTAAAGTAAGAAAAACTGTTAAAATCAATATCACAATAATAGATTTTATTTTCAGTATTTCCGATAAATGGTTTTCCTATACGCAGAGCTATGGTGGGGCCCTGGGACAAAACATTGGCAAGGGTTCACCCCCCACATATTAAAACCTTTTTTTTAAGCTGCCAGGCCCCTCTGGGCTCCAAACCCCGGAAATTTTGCCCCCTGTCCCTCCCTCCTTCTACAGAGATATAAACCTATAACATACGCCCCAGTAAATACTTTTTTTTTAATTAATTATTATTAATTAATATATTTTTTAATATGATGGAGAGTAGATAAGACTCCTTCAAATTTTAAACAATTATTTGACATTTAGGCACGACAACAATATTGAAAAAATATCTTTATGCTTTCACAGTTGACAAGCGTAGCCAACCACATTGTAAAATCATTATCCTTATAGCATAAGCAAGGCTAGAACCGTTATTTATCGTGTACCCCAAGGTACTGTACTGGAGCCTATACTATTCACTTTATATATAAACAGTTTGCTTACATTGACCAGCTTGAACAACCAGAAGGAACCGAACTTCTATTGACTGCGCATATAACATACTTACATATTGTGTATTATCGAAATTTAACCGCAACTTCACAATTACAAGATTTCTACCTTCTGATGTCACTTTGTGGGTAGTGTCCATAACTTTTGTCTCCAATTTTAAATTAAAGAAATCTGTAGCTATCTGCATTAATTGGCCTAAAAAATAAAACGTTTCAAACTCCAATTCATATTTCAATGAGAAACAGTGAAGTGACGTAGATAGGGGGATCAATGCGATTAATTCGGTTTATGAGTCTGCGAAAATTGTTTTATCATGTATATTTATGAATATAATCATTTTTCAATAATGTATAAATCTTAAGTGTACCACATAAAAGATTATTTTCATGATTGAAAAATATATGTAATTTAATACCAAATCATGCCCCGACGCAAAAAGCTTTCTACGCCACTCAAAAAGTGTAATTTTACCCATAACGTAATGTGTTAGTCCCTTTCTAGTACTTCGATATATCAATACACAGCCCTCATTATCGATGTCTGTCAAATACATTGATGGACTCTTCATTTTTGGATAAGATACTCTGAACTGCGAATGGAGGTTGTCCATGCTGTTTAAAAAATCTGCAAAATGTCTTCCTGTTGCTTTTATTGTGACATCATATCTAAAACAACTCTATATGTATCATAGGAATAAAATTATCTAAAAGAAATTTATCAGTGAGAGTTCATGAGGTTTGGTCCCGAAACGAGTTCCAAACTTGTTACAAACATTATCTGATACGCATGCGTAGAATAATGTTCGGAATGTATGCTGGAACACGATACACATACTAAAGGTATGCTGACTTTCGATTCAAAATTCGTCCAAACCGCGCATGACAAACTTTCAAGTTATTTTTACACTTTTTGATTGAATAGTGTAAAATAGTTTAATAATTTATTTGTTTTTGTGTTAGTAGTGACTATATTTTCCTATATATAACAGGAAAGAACTAAATTAATGTTTAAAATGCCGGGTTGCGCGGTGGATATTTCCGAATGCCACAAAATATGGGTAAATTATTATCGAAGAAAGGACAAACTTAATTGAAGTTGCCCTATCCACTTTGAGGAAAGTAGTTCTGAGATTGCTCTTAAACATGTCAAAGGTTTGGTTTTATATTAATTGTAGTTTTATATTTAATAAAAATACTATTCTCACTTTTAATGAAGTTTTATTTTTTTTATACTTCACATTGGCAATCAATAATATTTTTTTTTAACAACTACCTAACAACTATTAAGTCTCTAGTCTTCATAATGACAACTAAAAATATTATCTTAACACCCTCTCTTAATTTTAGGTTGGGATGTAATGACAACATAAAAGTCAAAAAAAAATATCAATTTTAAAAACCATATTAAGCTGTGTTCATGAAAGTATTTTTTAGTGTTTGAAATTTGACATTTCCTAGCGGTTTAGTGAGAATGTCCGCTATTTGATTTTCACTAGCACAATATTTTAGATTCACTGTTCCTTCATGGACTTTTTCACTTATGAAGTGATATCTAACGTCTATATGTTTACTGCGTTTATTGAATTGCCCATTTTTAATAATTGTTATGGCACTTTGATTGTCGACATTCAAATCAATCTTGATGTCGTCACCAGTAAGTTCGTCAATCAAGTGTTTAAGATAAATAAGTTCCTTTACACACTCAGCGGCTGATATGTACTCAGACTCCGTACTTGAAAGAGACACTATTGGTTGTTTCCTGGATCCCCATGAAATAGGTCCTTTACAAAAAAATATTATATATCCAGTGGTACTTTTGCGAGTGTCTATATCTCCTGCAAAGTCTGAATCACAGTAAGCAATTAACTCCTCACCTGCTTCTTCATAACTGATGCCATCACTTTGTGTATTTACTAAATAGCGAAATATACGTTTAATATTGATAATATCTTGTTCTGTAGGACTTTCTATTCTTCTACTACAAAAACTCACTGGGTAAGCTATATCTGGTCTAGTCTTATTTGTCAGGTATAATAGACTTCCCACAGCTTCTCGGTATGGATAATCAGTATGTGCAGTTTTAGTTTCTTCAAAGTTCTTAGTAACCATCGGAGTAGATACTGGTTTTGCATTTTGCATATTAAATTTTTCTAGTATGGACTTCACATAACATTCTTGTTTTAATAAAATTTTTCCTGGTTGTTTCTCAATTTCTATTCCTAAAAATTTATGTGGATTTTCAAATATTTTCATCTCGAATTCAGTTTTTAAATTTCTTAGTAGATTTTCCAAATCTGTTTCATTTTTACTTATAACAATTCCATCGTCAACGTATATAGCTAGGTATAAAGTTCGTTCTTCATTTCTAAACATGCATTGATCGGATTTTAATGCAATTAGACCACAAGCCTTTAGAGATTTTGTGAATCTTTCATTCCATTTCAATGGAGCTTGTTTCAAACCATATAATGACTTCTTTAGTAGACAAATCTTATTATCTTTATTTTTTAAGTTGTATCCTTCTGGTATATAGGTACATGAAAATTTCTTCACTTAAATCACCATACAAAAACGCCGTTTTAATATCAAATTGTGTGATTTTCATATCATTTTTAGTAGCTAATGCTAATAGAATTCGAATTGATGAACTATTTACTACAGGACTGAATGTTTCGTTGTAATCTATTCCTCTTCGTTGCTCGAATCCTCAAATTACAAGCCTCGCTTTATATCTTCCATCGTCTTTGATTCGGAATACCCATTTGCTTTGAAGAATGTTTTTATCTTCTACTGAACTTTTATCTACATAGGTCCATGTTTCATTTTTCTTTAATGATTCTTTTTCCTCATTAATGGCTAGTTGCCACTTCTCTTTGTCTGGTACCAGCTTACTGGTACGTCAGTAGTGCTTCACCTTCTAAATCGAGAAAATAATCATTTAATTTTTCTGGTATCTTAATTTTTCTTCCACTTCTAGTTACAATCTCTTTCTTTTCTTCTGTTAATACATTGTTTTTTATTTCTGCTGTTTGAATATTGGTCAATTCTTTTTCGTGATTATTAGTCAATTCTAGTTCGTGATTATTGATCAATTCTTGTTCGTCTTCTATTTCTGAATTGTTTTCGCTCTGTACGTCATTTTCTATATTTTTTGAGATTAATTTAATTGTTTCGTCTAGTGATAGTTTTTCTGGTTCTTTGAATTCCACATCTCTGTGAAGTTCTATTTTTCTATTTTTTTCATTCCATAAGCGATAACCATTTGGTGCATAACCCACGAATAAGTATTTTTTACTTCTTGGATCAAGTTTTTTTAAGTAACCTAACGTTTTCGCATATGCAATTGATCCAAAAATTTGTAAGTTTGATAAGTTTGGCTTTGTTCCATTTCAGCATTCTATAGGGGTTTTTTTAATGTGTCAGTGGGGCTTCTATTTAATAAGTAAGTTGCTACATAAACAGCTTCACCCCAGAAACTGTTATTCATGTTTGCATCAAATATTAAGGCTCGAGCTTTTTCTAAAAGGGTTCTATTGAGGCGTTCTGCTTTGCCATTTAATTGAGGAGTATGAGGTATAGTAAAGTCTAATATAATGCCTTTGTTTTTACACCATTGCTTAAAGTTTGTATTTGCATATTCTCCCCCATTATCGCAACGAATTTTAGATACTTTTAAATTTTGATATGCCTCTGTTTCAGAAATATATTCTTTAAGATATATTGTAGCTTCATTTTTAAATTTTAATAAGTAAACTCTGGAATAGTGCGTATAATCATCTAGGACTGTTAGTATGTATTGTTTTGAATCCCAAGTTGATGGTTGTATGGGGCCGCAAATATCTGTATGTAGTATTTCTAAAGGTCTCCTTGCTCTTTGTCTCATAGTGTTAAATGGGTTTCTAGTCTGTCTTGCCTGTAAACAGACCTCACAGGTACCTCTTTTATCTTTACATTCAGATTTATTTAAAGTCATCCCTGTCGATAAGTCAATTAATTTGCACATATTTTTATAACCCAAATGTCCTAGTTTTCTGTGTCATTCTTCAATATTCCCCGTTTTATCTGTTAAATTTGCCTCTTCTGATTGATTTATTTTAACTACATATAATCCATTTTCTGTTTTGTTTCCTTCTAATACTTTTGTTGCATTTTTCTTTATTATAACTTTTTCTTTTGTAAAAATTACTTCACCATTATTCTCTGTTATGGCATTAACAGACAGTAAGTTTTTCCTAAGTTCTGGAATGAATAGAACGTCTTTTAGTATGCATGAAGTAGTTTCAATATTTCCTTTCCCTTCTGCTAACATCTTTTCATTTTTCTTTGCTACTTGTATGCTTGAATGTGTTTTTTCTAAATTTATAAAAAGTTCTTTAGAATTTGCCATGTGAATTGAGCTACCAGAATCAACGACAAAATCATTAGTGTTGCCGTCTTGGTTTTCTGTTAGGAATGATATTTTATTTTCTCTTGATTTTTCCTTTTCTCTAACCAAGCAATTCTTTTCTGAATGATTCATTTTTTACATATACTGCATACAGTTTTAGTTTTATTTGTTTTAAATGGTTTACTACCTGAAGCTTTTGCATAACAATTTCTGGAATTGTGGCCTGATCTTCCACATATATCACACTTATTTTCATAATTTGTTTTTCTACAAAATTTAGTGTAATGGGTCGTAGTTTTGCAGTTCTGGCAGTATTTGGCACTGCTCTGAAATGCTACTTCATTTACATTTTCCTTTGCCTTATTTCTAGATTCTTCTAGTATTAATCTTGCTGTTAAAGTATCTACAGTCTTTTCACTAGTTGCAGTTGAATCCCATGCAGTTACAAAGTTACTATATTGTTCAGGTAATGTGGAAAGGATTTTCGATATGACCATATTATCGTTTATTATTTCATTTAGTGACTTTAGTTTATGTATAATATTTTTTATTTTACTTATATGCAATCCCATATCTTCACTTTTTTCATATGAATAGTTATAAAATTGTTGAAGTAATGTACAAATTTGATCTGTTGTGCTTTTTTCAAATATGTTAGTAAGTTTTTCAAACATATCTTTAGAAGTTTCGCAATCTATAATGTGCATTATTAGTTTTTTTATCAATTGTAGTTACGATCAGTTTTTGTGCTTTTGCATCCTTCTTTAACCAATTTGCTTTATCTTCATCCTTTGTTAGGGCATTTAGTAATTCTTTTCCATTTATAATTCCGTATAGGTCATTTGCTTTAAAGGTAACAATTATTTGAAACTTCCATATTTGATAAGATGTTTCATCAACCAGTCTCTCTATATAGGCGGTATCGTCAGAATTCATCTCCAGTTTCCGTTTTATTTTTAACTTTTTATTTTTATATTGGGCGTAGTCCTGGGCCCATAACCTGTCAAAGGTTTGGTTTTATATTAATTGTAGTTTTATATTTAATAAAAATACTATTCTCACTTTTAATGAAGTTTTATTTTTTTTTATTATACTTCACATTGGCAATCAATAATATTTTTTTTTAACAACTACCTAACAACTATTAAGTCTCTAGTCTTCATAATGACAACCTAAAAATATTATCTTAACAAAACATAGACACAAGAAAAGGAAACTGAATTCCACCAGGTGCACGGGCCTCATTAAGCAAAGAAAATAAATCGGTATTTAATAATTTTAGCAGATAAAACAGTAGTTTCCTGTCCCAATACAACGGTCTTTTTGAAGTAATGACATGCGTGAGCAGGAGACGAAAATATATAAGAATAAGATAAATGAACAGGAAAATTGGTTTTGAGTATTTTCAAAGTAAACTTGACAAAAAATGTTTAAATTTACCAAATAAAAAGTAATGTTTTTGTGTACTTACTTTTTATAAATAATTAATTTGTTTCTGCACACTTATTTATATTTCACATAATAAGAAAAGAGATTGCAACAGAACTACCACGCCCAGAAAGTACAAATTTGTGTCAAACTTGTATTTTTAGTCTTTATCTTTTACTTATCTTATGACAAGATTATGGATTTTGTCACAAAATACCTATAATTTATGAGAAAAATTAATATTTTTATTAATATTATTTACCTTAAACCTTCATATTTGTAAACGAATTTAATACAAAATAACCAATAAAGCTTAAGTAACTGCATAAAATCTAAAATTGCCAAAATATCGAATTTTAAACACTATCTCTCATTTAATGCTTATAATTCTATGGACGTCACCGTTAGTCAGCTGCATGCGCAGAAACAAACTGTTAGTCTGTGTATCGTGTGCTGGAACGTTAAAAAAAATTAATGTTGCTGAGTGTTTTAACTAATTACAGGTCATTCAATTATATTTATTAAAAAAAGAAGATTTTGAGGTTATGATCAATTCAAAATTGCACAAATAAAAACTACCCTCCTTATTATATTATTTTAATTAAAATTAAGATAATCGGCCCTCACAAAACGAACCAAAAATCCAATTAAAAACAAAGGAGGAAAAGAAGAAAAATGGTTTTAAATAAGCACGCATGCGCGAAAGTAAAAGGTCGTATTTTATGTCGGAACATGTTATAAACAAGTTTTTAATCTTGCGGAAACACCAAACAAGTTCAATTTGTTTAGAACTTGTCTGCTGGAACAGTTATTTTGTACTGCGCATACTCAATATGTTAGGAAATCGCTTCGGGAACAAACCTAAGAATTGAAGCTAAAATTGGTTGGAGAGAACAATACAATTAAGACAGTGTTGTATAATTTCTTACCCGTAATTACTGAAAAATCTTACAAAACATTTTCCAAAGAACATCATTATATCATCTGGTGATTGGTTGGTAATGTTGGCTAAAGCTGTAGCTAACGAGGCCATGGTGCTATCCGGGTACGTTTGATGCGTGTTGAAAACAGAATACTTACATTCTGCCGCCAAAAGGACTTTTTGCCATATTTTATCGCCATATTCCAACTGAAAATTGGAATAAAAATAGCTAGTTGTGTATTTAGACTGTAAAGCAAAACATTGTTAGTGAGGGTAGTCTTGGTCTTGCAGACTTGGTTTAATTTCAAGGCCAATACCGGCAATGCAAAACTAAGACCCAAAACTGAACATCCAAGGTCCAAGACTAAATTTAAGATCAAGACAAGTCCAAGATCAAGACAAGCCCAAGATCAAGACAAGTCCAAGATCAAGACAAGTTCGAGATTAAGAGAGACAAGTCCAAGATCAAGAGAAGTCCTAGACCAAGGATGCAACTCGAACACAGAGGTCTTTATTTTGCATTATACATTGTTAGTAGAGAAAGCTATTTTGAGGTTTTGCGCTCAAATTGTCCGTTTTGTAGGTGTGGAGATAAGTGGCATATCATCGTTGATACTTCAATTAGTCGTATGTCAAAAATACACATTTAAATTTAAATTGACCGGCCCATAATCCTACAAAATCCTGGTATATTGCGAACCAATAGCAAGCGTTCAACGTGATTTATTTAAGGGGTCGTATGTCAAAAAAAATATTGTTTTTTTGCTCTTCTGAAAGTAGCTATTTTGTCACAATATTTTGCAGTATCAACGTTGATGCACTTTTTTTATTAACCATTTTTTTCTCCATGACATGTATGATTAAAAAATGATTTGAGTACTTTGAAATTATAAATATACTCTAATAGACAAATGCTATTTCGCATAGACAAATTTTTTTTATACTAATTTCTGTAAGGGTTCTTTTCGCATCCCCCCAACCAATTAATTTAATCAACTCTTTTGTAAACTCCATTGTCTCGCATAAAAATAATGTTCCATAGCCCAATTACATTAGCATTCTTTTCGCACACTCAAATTAGGCTTTATAATTTTACGTAAGACGTACAAAAGTTTTTCGTTAATAAAATTTGAAACACTATCCCGGCTTCTCGAAACCCTTATTTAATTTGTTCTTTCGGGCAATTTTTATGAGAGAGTTGTACAGAAATTGGATATATCAAATGCTTTCAAATAATTGAAAGAAGTTTAAACTTCTTCTAGAAATATTTAATTTCATTAGTATTGTTACGTTTGTTTATTTTAAGTAACAGTTTATTTGTTAATAATTTATTTGAACACTTATTTATTTTAAAACAATACTATTCTAATTTATAAATATTTCTTGTTCACTATTTATCTTCACAACTGTTTGTATACGACTGACTGCTCCGTGTTCCTTCACCAATATTTATATACACGTTGGAAATTCTGGTGAAGGTTTTAGAAAGTTTTCACCAAAACTAGAAACATTATCCCGTTCATTCTCGAATAGTAATCGAAAGCGCATTCACCATAGTCGTCACATATGTTTGGTCTTAAGGGTTTAATTATGGCCAAATAAGACGGAGAGGGACTTGGAGGATTAGAGCATAACTGAGTAACAAAATGGCTCGTATTGCTAAAGTTCGCCTTCTCTTTTAAAATCTATGGTTTTGTTTGTAGGTTATAAGCAGGTCGAGTTAGATTTAGCCCAGAACACTGCGGCTTTTTGGCATAGAATTCATAGAAATCATAATCATAGAAGTGATAGAATTTATAGAACTTAGAGGACATAGAATTCGTAGAAGTCTTAGAATTTATGGAAGTCATAAGGTCATAGAAGGTATAAAAGTCATAGAATTAGTAGAAGTCGTAGAATTAAGGTACCATCTTTAGAATTGATAGAATTCATAGAAGTCGTAGAATCATAGAAGATACGGAAGTCATAAAAGTAATAGAAGTCATAAAAGTAATAGAAGTCATGGAAGTCATAGAAGTAATAGAAGTCATGGAAGTCATAGAAGTGTTATAGAAGACATAGAAGTTATAGGTCATAGAATTCATAGAAGTCAGAGAAGTCATAAAAATCGTAAAGGTCCTAGAAGTTATAGAATTATAGAAGTTACGAAATTCATAAAAGTAATAGAAGTCATAGATGTCATAAGTCATAAAAAGTCATAAAAAGTCATAAAAAGTCATAAAAAGTCATAAAAAGTCATAAAAAGTTATAAAAAGTCATAAAAAGTCATAAAAAGTCATAAAAAGTCATAAAAAGTCATAAAAAGTCATAAAAAGTCATAAAAAGTCATAAAAAGTCATAAAAAGTCATAAAAAGTCATAAAAAGTCATAAAAAGTCATAAAAAGTAATAAAAAGTCATAAAAAGTCATAAAAATTCATAAAAAGTCATAAAAAGTCATAAAAAGTCATAAAAAGTCATAAAAAGTCATAAAAAGTCATAAAAAGTCATAAAAAGTCATAAAAAGTCATAAAAAGTCATAAAAAGTCATTAAAAGTCATAAAAAGTCATAAAAAGTCATAGAAGTCGGAAATCGTAGAAGTCAGAGAAATCAAAGACGTCATAGAAGTTATAGAGGTCATAGAAATAATAGAAGCCACAGAAGTCATAAAAGCCATAAAAGTGAAAAGTCATAAAAGTAATAAACGTCATAAAAGACACAAAAGTCATAAATGTCATAGAATTCATAGAATTCATGGAAGTCATAGAAGTCATAGTCATAGAAGAGATAGAAGTTATAGAACTTAGAGGACTTAGAAGTCTTAGAGTCATAGAAGCTATAAAAGTCATAGAATTAGTAGAAATAGAATTCATAGAAGTTATGGAAGTCATACAAAAATATAAGAAAAAGTAATTGTAACAATCAGAAAGTACAAGCGCAAGTATATTATCAAAGGCCTTGCTAAAATCATTGGGGCATATTTTATTTCGTTATCAGATGACAACGAAAATTCGCAGTGGGCTATATAGACTGAGAATAAATCATTGAGTTTCTTTCTATGGTCGTTTTACAGGAAAAAAAGAATACATTTCTTCAACAATTCTAGTTCTCAAAAGTCCCAATACATACATAACACTGGTCAGCACCATTTCTGCTGATTCTTATATGAAATGACTTCCTGAATCCGAATAATACTCATGTTTACTCCCATCAGCCACCTTTTTCTAGAGAGCGATTCCCTTCACGTTTTTTTATCACTTTTTGATAATTTGAAGGATTATATTTTAGCATTTATAATTCTTCTAAGGGAATAAAAAGGTGAACAATTCTGAAACAAGAACAGTTGTAGCCCGAGAGAGGTTTGGGTAGATTTGCCACATTAAATTGAAAAAAATCATTAGAAGTTATCGATTTTCTGGCTTTTTCGCATTTTTTTTTATTTATTTTCCCCCCGGCGATACTAATCCGTACATTTTAAAAGGGTGTAGTGAATGGTTAAAAAGCCCTCGCATACATATTTTTAATAGAATTTTAAAATCTAGAGTATTTCCTGAAAAGTGGAAAACTGCTATTAAAACACCAATTCATAAGTCTGGGGAAAAATTAACGTTGGAAACTGTAGACCCATCTCCATTATGTGGGCCCCATCTAAATTATTAGAGCAAATAATATACAACAAAGTATATTTACACATTGAAAAATATATAGTGCCTCAGCCACATGGTTTCATGGCAAACAAATCTATAAATACAAATCTTTTTATATTTTGGAATCAAGCATTTGAAACATTAGGTAGTAACATACAATTGGACACAATTTTTACTGACTTCCGTAAAGCATTCGTGTTGACCATATCTTATTAGACAAGATGGCTCGATATGGATTGGATTCAATTTTTTTTAGAATTAATAAAAAGTTATTTAGAGAATAGAAAATTTGTTATAAGGTATAATGTTTAGAGGGTTAATCTTTCTTTTGTAATTATAACTATTTATTACTTATTATGGTTTTATTAAAAAACTACAAAAAAGGAACAAACTCTTGCCTACAAATTTTCTTAACCCTACTTTTTCTTCTTTTTTCTTACATGTTTTGTCTCGATTATTTAATATTTAGGCAACTAAATATATATACTGACAAAGTATTTATAACTCAAAGGAGGATTATATGTTATGTTATGTTTGGAATGGGGTGATAATACACTGGGACCTAAAATATCTATTGTGCCCTCTTCTGCCGCTAATGCCTATAACGACCCTTTCAATCCCATCTTCTCAAGGAAGTATAGGATTTGTAGTAGCTTCAAATTAGGTAAATTTCACACTTCTATTAGATATACTCCTAGATATGCCCTTGGATTCTGCATTGCTATAGATTCAGTCAGAATCTGAATGGAGGTTTTGTCTTCCTCCTCACAGAATCTGCATTCACTAAAGGATTATAAGATATCTAGCTGATTCAAACAATTTAAAATACTTATCCATTATGCTTTGTATATGATTAAACTCCTAATAGATACTTATAAAAATCACTATAATTTTAATCTCCATAGTGATATCTAGAGCTTGGATTATATGCAAAATGCATATAAAGTGCATGCCTGCATATTTAGTGCAGAATTTTATATTGCATATCTAAAATAATAATGCATATTTAAAAATAAAATATTGCTTATTTATCATTATTTTGTAAACATTACAATATACTGTAAAAGGTCTTTACAAAAACATACCACATATTCCTTAGACCAAAATAAGTCGATTTAAGTAAAATTACCTTAGTACAAAGTTGCTTCGTTTGGGCTCCAGAGGGCCTTGAAGTTACAATTTTTAAATCGTTTTTCCCATATAAATTTAAAACGGCATATGCGATTTTGCTGAAATTTGGTATGTTGGTAGATTTTTATGTGGCAAAAAAAAATGGTATTAAAATTTTGTCCGATAATAATACATAGGCGTGAACTTGATTTTTTAAATAATTGCACCTTTAAAAATTCTACGCCAATGGAAGAAAAGGAGTTTGAGTATGAAATTTAGATTGCGCAACTCATTTACTTTAAAAAAGATACTCTTGATAAGACTCGATTACTCTCATGGTTTTCACTAAATTTCTGTTTTAATAATTTAGAGTGTATAGGTTTCACAAAAATATTTATTTACAACATAATCAAAATAGAGATTTTACAAAAATTGTTCAAAATGTTCACCATTTTCACGCATACAAAGATT